TGGCCTCCCTAAATCACAAGGCGAGGCATCTCATGTACATGTCAATATAGGAATATAAAGTGTACATGCAATGTTAGAATTCTGGAAATAAAAGTTACATGCCAAAAAGTCATCTGAATCGTATACATGGTATAGGCCTAGTCGGCAAAGCCTCAATCAGGAAACATCACACCAACTTGGGGTTTAGTTTGAGGCGTGGAGCTAGACGTGTCTCCTGAAAGAAGTCCTGCCATTTTCACAGAAATGGGCCATGTACATGTACTGTAGGCATGCCTAGTGTTGATCCTAGTCCTACTCCTTGGAAGTATGATTACTAATCTTAACATGGTCTTTTCCTTTCTCCATGGTCTCAACGACTAGGCCTGTGAATTTTCTTCCTGTAAAGTGTAAGTGTGGAATAATAAAAGCAAAAATACCTTGTACTTACTCCATATCAAGTAGGTGTGCCAACAATTCCCCCGAGACTAATTTCTTACGAGAAGTCACGAAAATAAATGGATTAAATCGACCACCATGCGCTCATAATACAAGCGTACAGTCACTCAACGTGCACGTATCCCACCGCATCCACGTGCAGAGTGTATGTCTGTAACCGGTCCGCCAACATCCGTCCGTTATGTTAGTTTTGCGTAGTGACGTCATGCACAGAGTGCCTGGCTTACCAATACTCGACGGGGGCTCCGTCTCAGGCTTCGTTCCCAAAACCATGGAACCAATCCCCGACTGTGGGCCTGAAGCGTTTAAATTAAATTGGATTACTGTAATTTCTGGCTCTCTTGCATCTTAGTTGATGTTTTGTGGCACTATTAAACTAATTGATGCACTTACAGCTTCAACGTCAGCTAGTTAAAAACAGTTGAAGCCTCAGACAGAGCCGAAGTTAAGTACTGGAAAACGGCCTTTAACTGCCTCACCGGCACCCAGAATATAATACGGGTGATTCACAACAGTGCGCCTCCAAGAGTTTATAACGCGTTGGCCAATCACAACACGGGAGATCTGTCGACCCGTTCCATGATTCAAACGCGCATTGGGTAGACTGATTTCGCGCGTCGTGATTGGCCAACGTGTTGCAAACTCTTTGAGGCTCACCATTGTGAATCGCCCGTATTGAATAAAAATGTAAATGCACATTTGTTTGCAGTCAATTTCATGTTGTATTTATTCTCCCCAAACTAAATAAATTCGCACGCGGTTAACCCTGCATTTTTTTTTCAAAGTGGGCCAGCTATGACTGAGATTTTTCTGTAAATGACTCAGAATTTCTTTTGGAGCAAGATAGGCATGGTTTGGAGCTCAGAAATGATGATATAAAGAAATTCATATATGGCTCTCAAATTAAATAAATTCGCTAGGGGTTAGCATTGCATTTTTATTTAAATCAGACCAAAATGTGACTTTTCCCCCCAAGAAACTGGGAGAAACTCTTCTTGTGCGAAATGAGTATGGGTTGGGCACAAATTCGTATTAGGCTAAGATTGAATAAATTGGCAAGAGTAACTCTTGCACTTCAAGTTTTACAGAAAATCTGCAAAATAAAAAGGCTAACCTTTCACAAATAAAAATCTGGAAATGTTCATTTTGAGTGAGATTTTAATTGCAATAGCAAGGCTAACCAACAACCCACTTTAAAATTTCCATTGACACAAGACAAGCACATTTTAAACATCTGCTGCAGATAATTTACTTGACTGGAAGAACACTGGTTCCGTAAGAAATAAAACGATGATTTCAAATCATTCTAGAACATTTTTTATTTCAGAATTCAAAATTATAGTTCAACACTATAAAACATAAACCAAACTTCATAACTTAATTTGTTCAAAACAGAATCTCGAAGTCCCACTCTGTAATATTAGAGGCAAAAGCACACTTTGCAACAATTTCCTAAACTTTTCTTGACTTCGAATTCTTTTTCCGATTAAGAAATGTTTTTCATAAATCAGTCCTAAAGAGTAGCAACTTCAAATAATATTTACAACCTTAAAGGCTGTTTTTGCGCAATGAGCAAAACATTACACAAACTACGATGCTATTGCCTACCATTACCTCTATGGGAGGTCACAGCTGGAATGTAAAACCTATTTCATAACTTTCTTTACCATGAGGTAATACTTGTTTTTGAAATCTCGGAAAAGTGATTCCTAAATTAAATGTGTAATCAGGCCAACTTGTTCTTGTCATTACCTGAGCAACGGTGATATCATTTCAATTCCCATGAGCAGGGAACAAATTCCACACCCCCTTCCTGTTTTCTTTTTTTTATCGAGTGTACAAGTGCACACCATCTCAGGTCTTTCAAATACTGTCAAGAGGTTCTGGAAAATTTTCTAACATTTGGGAAGGTAGAGTCCAGCCAACAATATTTCTTGCTACGGGACTCGGTCCACGATGCCCCTTAATAATGTTGAAGTACACAGAATTTGCTGTTGATTTCCTGAAGAGAGGATGAGTTTGGAAGACTGAGGAGGAAGCTTCCTTCCAAAATGCTCAGAGGGTTAAAGTTAATCAATTCAACTGTCTATCAGTTCATCCTATAAAGTAAACATCATCATTAAAAATTTAACGTGAAAAACTGGAAAATTAGAATTGGTCAAAAATTTTCGGAACAACCAAAAGCATGCACTGCTGTTGTGAGCGGTTTAGAAAATGGCAAACGTCTGTCCATAAAAATTAATTAGGGAAACAATTCCAGAGAGAACAACAGAAGCAACAAATGTAACAGCCAGAGTTTTTAAAAACATCAACATCTTCGCTTGCTTCAGCAAAGCAAAACATTACATATCTTATAAACTAAATTGGTGTAAACTGTCCTTTCATCTTTTCTGCTACACCCTGAAGATGTTCAGCAGTCCTTTCCTCATTTGCTGCAGTTCATGTTGTTGCTGTGGTATACAAACAAGGCAAAGTGAGATGAATTTTCAAAGCCTCTCTGTTTTGAACGAAATGAACAGTGCTTTAAAGGGCGCTAGTTCCGTGCATAAATAAATTGGTTGGACCTCATTCAAACTGAAAAACATTTCTATTTCTATATTTCCAATTTCATGTTTTCCCCAAATGTTGCCATGTTAGGGTTGTGCTCCCAAACAGGAGTTACCTGGGTCAACAAGAAGTAGAAGTACTTTTTGGCAGGGGCCTTGCTACAGATTTCTTCCCCCCGTGACGTGGTAGTCCTACAGATGCAAAGGGCAAAATGTACTCACAGCGTCTTGAATGAGCAGCTTGTGCATGTTGACCATCTCTTGGTGCAGCACCTGCCTGACGCCGTGCTGCAGGTGCCGGCCCAGCTGCCGGTTCAGCTCCCCGGAGTCCGTCTCGTGTTGGCTGTGCAGTGACTTCACCCGCTGTATGCTGCAGGAACAAAATGGCGTTGGGTGAAAAAATGACAGGAATAGAATTCCGAGGGGCACTGCGGCCGAGCACGGAAGTCAATGAAGCTTCATATTCGGCTACACTGTAAGTATGCCACGTTTTGAGACGAGAGCATTTGGCTGATTGCAAGAACAGAAAATGTTTACGCTCAAGTAGGAGTGAGAGACCACACTAACCTGCATGGGACACAGCTCAGCTCAACAAGTTACATGTTGCTAAATGTACTTCTGCAGAAATTGTATCAATTTATTATTGTGGGTGAAAATGATTGCTATGACCATTGGATGTCGACATGAATGGTACAAATCACAATCACGGACAGTTTGCTTTTTACAATGCATCAGAAAAGACAAAAAAAAAAATTGTTCCAAGAACTCAATCTGTTGTGTCTAGCGTCATATGGCACACGGACTCATTGACGATGTCATAGACAGTAAAGTGAATGGGTCCGTACTTCAAAATCTAAGTTTCATTCAACACCAGACACACTGTCAGAAGGAGCATTTTCACCTCCACACCACTGAGGAGGGGGCCCTACTCACTGCTTGAGCAGAGTGGAGGCCGTCATGTGACAGTGCTGCTCCAGTGTTGCCTGCAGCTCTCTCTGGACATCCTTTAAGTGACCCAGCTCGTCCTCCAGGGAGACGATTTCGGCCAGCAGGCGGCTCTTAAACTCCTCCTGAGCTTCGCTCCTGGAAACAAACCAACCAACAAAACAAACATCATCCCAGGATTGAACGTTGATGGGATAGGCTGCCGAAGGACTAGTTTTGGATTACATAAGAACTTGGTTGTTGGCTGGACGATTTCTTTAAAACTACCAACGACTGTTCATCCAGATATGTCCAAACTCAAAGCCTGGAAAAAAAAAAAACAGACAACGAGGGGCTTGATGTTTGGAATGAAGAAACAGGCCCGGGGAGTGCACTCACGGATGATCCAGTAAATTCTAGGCTAGTTGGCACTCGCTTGAAATGTGACCTAGTAAGGCCAGGTAAGTCAGCTAGCCTGCACTGCTACCCAAGAATTCCCTGTAAATGGTAAACTGTAAGTGGTAAAACTATGCTGTGAATCCGTTAAAGATGGGCTTCATTAGCCCCTTGATCATTGGCTAAAAACACCCTGTTTAACCGATTCAAAAGTTTTGTTTTTGGTGTTGCCTTTACACCAGCATGTATTCTGTGGTCTAAGAGTTGGGACAAAAATCACCAACTTTTTTGGGTGTGATTTGAACCCACGACTTCCTGCTTACTGTTGCAGATGTCCCAAGCACTCGACTACTGAGTTTGTCTGGATTCAGCTGGCTCAAATCCAATGCAGCAGCAGGTACCACAAGTAATAAATGATATCAATTTTGTTTTGGATTGAAAAGTCGGACAATTCAACCTGAAGGGAATCACGAATGAAACACTTCAGTGCAACTGACACTTCTTGTGATTCCTCGGCTGTAACACATGGTGACAAATCGCGCATTGTCTGCAGAACACAACACTGTGTGGGCGACCAACAACTCCATTCACATCCCAAGGGGGTGGTCTTGAGTTGTTTATACCTTGCTTGGTGCTGCTGGGACCAGAGCTTGGACACCTCTCTCTTGGTTGTCTTCACTGCTCCTTCGGTCAGCTGTCGGGCCTGTCTCTGCTCGGTCTGATGGATACAGAAGGAAAATCATTTAAGCAGGTTTCCCACAGAAAGGGGAAAGCCAGATTCAATGACTTTCCAGGACTTTCAGGAGTGACATATGACAATTTCCATGATATTCAAAGCCATTTTGCAAAAAAAAAAAAAGTTGTTAGGTATTTGGAACTGGAAAACTGACATAGTCATTACCACAGACTGACATGGATAGCCTATATTTATTATTCCATCATAAAATCAAATGCAGCTTATCAAAAATAACCCTTGCATGATCTTAATTTCCATGACTTCTTCCCTCTGACAAAACAACTCCAGGAAATCCTTCCTTTTTCCTACTTTTCCATTACTTTTTCTGTGACATGCCAGGACAACTTTTATTGAGGCCTTTTCAGGATAATCCATAACCATGCCAACCCCGATTAAATACGTTTTATGGGTATTCTACAAGCGTACATTGATTATATATGCTGAAAATAAAGAAGCAAAAAAGCTGGACCACGTTCAACAGTGTTTTCTTTCAATATCAGCATCATTCTGCTGTGTCAAGTGGTAATAAAGTTAGGACAGAAGTCAGGGCACAAATCTGGGTACAATCCCAGGCCCATTTTAATGGCGCAGCTTAACAGTTAGCAGAAAAGTCTTGCTTACTATATTAGAAAATGTTCCTTACAGTAAGCACGATTTCATGGCAGTGTCAGGCATGGTTGCGCTTACGGTTGTGCGTGAACAGTGATCTCTATTGTTTTGTCACAGCGCGTTAAGCAAATTTTTCCTCCAAGGTAAGCGTTCATTTTGCCGTGCTTAATGCTTACGGTTGTCATGAAATACATTCAGCCTCTGTTGGTGTAAAATCGGGTGCTTAGCAGTGCCTTGAAATTGGGCCCAGGTCACAAACAACAGGCGATAAGCAAAGAAAAAGGAGTGTCTATATAGCTGCTATTCAAATCGTTTGGGACTCAGGACTGAATAGCCTGTGACAGACTTGCATAGAACTGACAAACTCTGGAAAAAGCCCCCTTGCTAGTTAGGTGCCTGGTGTTTGCTAGGCTGTTCCCATTGGAAATAGCATTCCTTCCCCAATCCAGAGCCATCAGTACTCCCGTGAGTAACCTTCTAAGCAGTCTAGGTTTGGAGATTGCTCACGTACCAGCATTCTCTGCTTGTGAGTGCTGGTGATCGTCTTGAACATCTTGGTGATCTGCATCGTCGGGAAGCTCCCCAAGGACTGAAAAGAGGATGGGATGTCACCGGTGCTGGTGTCTTCGGTGTCTTCCATCTCCACCTCTGGAGAATTTGAGCTGGTAGTAGCTGATGACGAAAAGCAAAAGTATATAACGTGATTCAATTGTTGGTTTGTGTTCAGACAATTTGCAATCGTAAGAAACAACCTTGGAATTACTAATCTGCCATTTTCTGAACTTTCACCTGATAAACTCCAGTCTTCAACAATAAAAACTGGACCCCAGACTTACAGAATGACCCACATAAACCTCGTACAAGACATAATAATAATGCACATTCCAAAGCTGTCTAAAAATTCAGCACTCTTACTCATGCGTGCTTTGAAGAGCTTCTTTGGTCTCAGCGACCCCTGGCCAGAGTGAGGCACTAGTCCACAAGGTGGCACGTCACCGTCAGCATCTTCACCGTCAGAGCTGACTACTGTGTCTCCATCAACCTGTGCCCCGTCATCTTCTCCGTCGTCATCGTTGAAGATGTCGCCATACTTCCGCTTAAGTGTTGAGGCAGTAGGACAAGCCCTGGAGGACGGACCTGAGTTGTAAATGTAATGGGGTCAACAATTAATTCATCTTTCCGGTATAATTTTGTTACAAACACAGTCTTTGAACTGCACAAGAAAGAGAAATTTATTAGTGTGCATGGATGCAGGAATGGGTATTTGCCCGAACTGTACAAAATGCAACTTCGTCAGCCTTTGTGACATTTTTCTATTCAACAAGCTAACAAGTACATTTCAGCATGTTTTGAATTAAGCAATTGGTTAAAACACAGCGCTCAATTTGGTCACCATCATTTACACAACTATGTAACTTTAAGCGCAGGAAGCATTAGTTTTCCAAATGTTGAATAAATTTGAGGTAACATATTCACCTGTACCTTGTTACAACAGTTACACTGATTCTGGATTACACACCTGACTTGAGACAATCTTCTTCTATCACTGGTGTGAAGTCTTCAGCATAATTTGGATCAGAGTCAAAGGTGACTTGCTAAAACAGAACAATGATTAGTTAAGTTTCTGGCTGTTGAGGAAATTAAATGGGCTGTTACAACACTTAAATTAGTTATCTTTTAAGCAGTGATAAATTGTCTGTAGTTTTGGTTCATTCAAGTTAATCTTACACTTTTCAGTTTAATCTTATACCAGATTTTGCCCTTAAGCCAATGCTTATGTTCACATTGTGTTTTTAATTGCAAAAAAACTCACAACTTGCTGAGGTGGATTCGAGCTCACGACTACTGCTTACTTTATAACTTCCATATTTTAAGTAATATGGCATTCAGAAATATGTGACCGGTGCCACAAAAATGGGTATTATGGGACATTTTTGCAAAATGAGTCACATACACTTTTGAATAGGTGACATCATCGTAAGCTTTAATTTGGTGTAAGTTTGAACCTTGTGGCATTTGGCAATCTGGAGATATATTGATTTTTGCATAATCATATCATACACATTAACAGAATTACTTTCGGACCGGGCGGAGATAAAGCCCTTTAAACACAGGAAGTGGAGAAAAAAAATCTGCCAAGAAAAAGATCTCTTAATACCCATAGCAACAGTTAGGTTTCTTGTATGAATTGTGGAAGTACTGATATAAAAGAACCCAAAAAACCAGGAAGTAAAAAATCACCCTGTCCACATAAAAAAGCCCTTAGTGTGATATAGCACAGTGTCCCTTATTACCCTTTTTGGCAGAGCGGGTCACACATAAGAGTGTAGTTTGAAAAATTCACATCTCTTCGCACATACAGGTGCAGCAATGACATGATAAACCAAATACTAGTTAACCCTGGCTCCAATAAACTGAACCTTGACTCTAGCTCATTTTTTTAACATCAGGAAGAAAAATACCTTGGGTGTTTTCCCCGAGGAGCTTGTGCCTCGGCTGGAGATGGACGAGGAGATCTTTAGGGATTTGGGAGTGACCAGGTCAGGCCGGCCCCCGGCCTGCATGTCCTCAACCAAGACCGAGGGAGTGAGCGGGTAGAGGTCCTCCTCTATGTCACCAGTGGCTCTGTCGGGATCATCCCTGGCGACCTCTATGCTGGACTCCTCCTCCTTGCCTTCCTCTTGGGAGGACCAGTGCAGCGACCAAGGTGTGCTGGTGCACCGGGGCATGGACTGTTAAGGAAGGGAGCAAAGAGCGCAGGAGTGATGGCCAGTTTGCAGAATATCAATGCGAGGTCAATGTCACGTCATGAAATGTTGGCGGGTCGATTCGCCTGGCTCGAAATGTCTTCAGTAGTTGCTCGCCAATCTACAGTACCAATAGTATTGTAATGTAAATAATCCATGTTTGTTTTACTCGTGTAAACTGGCTTTGTAATGAGCAAGTGCAACTTACAATGGAAATGTGACCTACTTGAAGGGCAGCAGGTAATGCCCTTGCCCTTGCTGTTGATTCAGGTCTGTGCCCTGGGCACAGACATGAAAAAGGGTAAAGTACAACCATCTGAATTCATACCTTGACGGTCTTTTCACTTCTGGTGGAGTTGTCCAACAGGGTCTTGTTGGCAGAGCTACGCCTCAGCTGGCTGTCCGACAGACTGCTGGACTCGTGATTCTCCCTGTAGTAGAACAAGCACATGTCCAGGCTGTCTACGTCTGCCTCCTGGGAGCTCTTCAGTGGATTCTGTTTCCTCTTCCTAGGCAGAGCCGGTTTCTCGTCCTGAAAATCAGAATGTTACAAAGTAGACTGCGACCTCGTCACTGCCTCGTGATTATGCAGGTTGCATGTTACATTTGTCCAATGTGGATCAAGATGTCAAACGGTCTCATCGTGCAGAAAGAGTACCACTTTATTATACCTTCTTCTTTCTCGGCTTTCTCTTGTTCAGTCTGGGTTTCTTCTTGACCGTGGTGTCCAGGTTTATCGTGGAGGTGAGCGACACCCACTCCTTCTTGTGGGTCTTGGAGTAAGTGCAAACCTGACATCCGCATGCATTTTCCATGGAACAATGATCGATGTAATGACGGAGGTAAGGGATGATTGGGAGTAGGCAGCGGGTTGACGAGGGAATAAAAAACGGGGAAACAGGTGTGTTGGAAAGGAAAGAAATTGAAGGGGAGGACGGTGTGAAGGTGGTTTTAGCCAGAAAGGTATCTCAGAGGCTTTGAAGGCCACTAAACATCATGGCTTCTGCTCACTCTACTTTAATTTTACGGCAGTTTGGTGTATTATTTATTTTTGACGTATTTTTTGTTTATTTACTGTCCAATATGTTTTCCCTTCTCTACGCTTCTCTGTGTATGACTTAAAAGTTCTGGCAATTAAATTTACCATACACCCAGCTGTTTGCTGTGCAGGGCTTCCCCTGGGCTAAAAGACTGTGAAAGGAAGAAAATGAAGGGACTTGTGGAAGAGGCCACATGTGGTGGCATTTTCTGACCTGTACTGTAGACCCAGCAAGTACAGATTAACCAACTAATTATATTAATTTGGACACTGTCTTACTTTCAATTTACAGGAAATCTGATAGTTCTCTGGTCAACTCCTGGCTAAACCCTGGAAGGGAATAATGAAAGCGATGATGGGCACGGACAATGATCACCATGACAACAATAAACGGGGGCAGCAACCCCTGACCTGAATTTTAACAAAAAGTGGCAGCTAGCTGTTGAATCACTGGCTAGCTGCTGAATCACCAACTGATCAAAGCAGTAAATGCAAAATCCAGTTACCTTCTGCATGGGTTTCTCGGCCAACCAACTTCTTTCGCTGACAACATCGGGTTCACGCCGCTTCTTGCTGGAGCGGCGCGGTGGCTCAGGAGAAGCTGCCAGACTGCCTGGCTCCTCCTCCTGTGCCCCCTCGTGTTCCTCGTCATTTGACTGCCATTCACTGAATTTATTTTTCAAAAAACGGAAAGTTACTACAAGTCGAAATGGTGAAATGACCTATTCTTTCAACACTGCAAACTCAGGAGATGACCTGATTTCAAAAACAATTCTTTCAGAAACTTCACAGAAGATTTTCTCAAAATTTTTCAAACAATTCTGAGGAGACATGCATTTTTTTAAAAGCTGATTTTTGTTGGAGAGGGGAGCTAATTCTGTGGTTAGGTCTCTGAGACCTCTAAGACCTGAATAAGTTAGTGCTGGCTGGTCTGCTAAGCCCAAGTTGGCAGCCGGGTGTAATGAGTAAAAGCAGGTATTCACAGCCTCTGGTGTACTACCGAGCCTTGAGAGCTTTCAGTGGGGTAATTCCAAAAACTCCTGACCGTCCACTCAGTGAACTATCACGCATTTTTACATTGATAACCAAAACCAGTATGCACAGCAAATCGATCACTATAGCCTATGCAGACAGATTTGCTCCAAACGGGGGCTCAACGATGGGTGTGCAATCTTCCAATCTTTCAGCTGCAGCTGGAAAGACATGTAAAGAACACACACACATCTGTGGAAAACTGTTGAAGCCATTAGCTGTGGCTTGGGAGGGTACATTCTTATGCCAGAACCGTGTATTTCAAATAACATGGGCAACTTCAAGGAAAAATGCTTGGACAGTACAGGGGGCATGCGGCCTGGTGGTTAGAGTTTGTAGCTTCTGATCATAGGGTCAGGGGTTCGAATCCAGCTGGTGGCAGTATGTTGCGATCTTGGGCAAGTCACGTTACCCCTGTGTGCCTCTCTCCACCCAGGAGTAAATGGGTACCTGTGAGGGTAGATTTGGTTGTTAGCCGTGTGCGCCTGATAGGGCAGCATCAGCTAGTAAACTCCCCGGGGAACTGAGATGGTTTCAGGAATGTTCAGTTGTTGTGAGCCCAATGTGCAGGGATAATGATAATACAGTGCCTTGAGCATCAGTTGTGATGGATATGTGCGCTATATAAATATCCACTGTTATTATTATAACAGTGCACTTTTGATTGGTGATGCAACAAGATTACCTGTCTTGGCTTTGATAATAGATCTTAGGGATGTTCCTGTATGACTGTTTTGTTGCTAGTCCTCGACCTGACTTATTGACCAAACTCTGGAAGAGAAGAATAAGAAAAGGGTTCACTTTCAATTGCGTCTTGAGGAGCGATCTTTGGTTCCAATGCCGATAACCAATTGATGCTGATCAAGCCCGTCTAAAGGGTCATGCAAGTCACAAGGAGCAAACAGACTACGGTTTAATGTTATAGTCCCGACGGAACATTTTTTTGGGACTGGTCTTCAAGTAGTGAGAGACCAACCTGGCAAACCTTGCTGAAGTTCTCCACGGACACAGTGTCTGTGTTGGCGTCGTCGTCACTGGAAATACTGACAGCATCTTCTCGATTGGGGACTTCCTCCGACTCATCTTCGACAATCTCCACTCCAAAGCTTGATCCTTTCCTCCTCCATGATGGCTTGCGACTGCTGATTGGCTCCCTGGAGGACTGCCGCTGCTTTTCCACAGATGCTGTTGAGGATTTCTTGCTCGGCCTCTCTACTTGTTCCTTGTCCAGGACATATGTGTTTCTACCAGATCGAGGCCTCTCCCTTCTTGATTTCTCTCCCCTGCGTGGTACAAGATTTACATAAACCATACAAAGCTTGGAGCATAACTACTTTAAGAGCAATCGAATCTTTTTGGCAGTATTTGAATTATTAAAAGGTCCTTTAAAATCTCAATTGCAAAATACACCTTTTTGAATCACACAATCAAGGTCTTTACACCAGTGAAATCAGCACCTTAAAGGTGGACAATGAACTCACCTCTTGTCTGTCTGACATCTGCTTTTTCTGCTTTCAGACATCAGCTCACTCACTGCTTCCGCAGCCCTTTTCCTTTCTCTGTTGGTGAAACTTTTGACAAAGCTGTGCACATCCTGGTCAAGGTACTGGTCATCACTGGATTCTACTGGAGACAGTTGGGCATTCCTCGAGAGGAATGACATTTGTGGTGCATCTCTGGGTTGCTCAATGTCGGAAAGCTCTTCTGGACTTGGGGGAGGCTTCACAGTTTTGTTTTTTGATCGCAGCCTGGACGAGACATTTATTTGATCATCATCTGTATCCCAAAGCTCTTGGGAATTTCGAAATAGCTTCTTTGAGGTTTTCAGAGGTTTGTCTGACTGTTCCAAATGCACACGCTGGTGTTTCCTAGATTTAGCATGCTGAGCAAGGGCATTCACCTTGGCTGGAATATTTCTTGCTGCCTTGGTAGGAAGAGATGGCTTCTTTTTGATGCATGGCTGAAGGCTGACACTCTGACAGCTTTCTGAATCTGCAAAGTCATAGACAGAGATGTCCAGTGCCTCTTGAGTTGACTTCAAAAGCTGACCTCTTTTCCTTGCCCCGGCCGTTCTCAAATGAGGTTTTTTGACAACAGAGTCACTAGATGAGGATCTCTCTACCTCTACTTCCACAAAGTCATACACAGACAGGTCCGCAGAATCTTGACTTGACCTGGCTGATAGGTTTGTCAGTGCCTTCAAAGATCTAGATGTTCTTGTTTTTTTTTCAGTTTCATTTTCGGTCTTCTTCCCCTTGGATTTCTTGATGATTGGGTGACTTGAGTCTGATGACTCCATCCCAGAAGTAGGTTTGTCGTTAGCTTCAGGGCAACTGTCAAACGACTGACTGAGTGTGCGTATTTCCCTCTCGGCCGCCTTGGCTGCCGCACGTTGACTCCTTGCCCTGAGTCTAGGTTCCTCCACAGGGGGCCTCTCCTTTGCTGACTTGCCTCCTTGTTTCTTAGGCTGCTTCTTCACGTTGCCTTCTCTCCAGGCCTTCTTTGTGGGCCGGCCTCTTCTGGGACGAGCTTCCATCTGGGAGGTGAAGAGCTCCTGGCTGGAATCCGGCATCTGAAGAGGCACCTTGCGAAATGCCCTTGAGGGAGGCAGGGGTCTGGATTTGTCGTCTGGGGCTTTGCCTCTATTTTTGGCAGCTTTGGTCTTGTCAACATCAGTGTCTTGGTCGTACTCTTCCTCATCTTCCCTTCTATCACCTTTTTGATCAGGTTTTGAAAGTTTCTTGTTCCCCGAGGGCACATCTGGTAGAACCTCATCTCCATCAATGATAATAACATCAGCATCCTCACAGCTTTCGCCAACCTTCTCAGAGTCATCTTTTGCATTGCTGTTCTTGTCATGTGGTCCTACTCTGGCATCCCATCTCTCCTGAACTTTGCCCGCATCCATCTTACTGTTGTGACAAGTTTCTGGACAACTGCTGCCAGCTGCGACTCGTGAACTGAGAACTCCTTCTTCTGACAACACCTCTTGAATGACTTCCTCCTGCAAGGTCATCTTGCTCCGTTGAAGGCTGGCGTTTGCAGTTGGAGCTTCACTACCTAGTTCAAAGACAATGCATACAACAATCACACCATTAAACCATCACTCCTGCACGTAAATCACTTCCGTGTGCAAAAACATCCAATCAAATGAAAGATGTCATGATTAGTTTCGATACTTGCCACTGATGATGGTCGCAGTTGTTTTAGTACTTCTGCCCTTGGCACTCTGTGCACTTTCCTCAGTCAGTGTACTAAGGGATGGACTATGGGCTACAGGATGATACCTGCCAAAGTTTGATCTATTTTGGATCCTAAAAGAATTAAAGAATGACAGCAATTGTCCAGTCTTGTCATAATATGAATACATACTATATAAAAGTCGGGATATTTAAAGCATTTGAAGGTAAGCAAACAGTTTAATGTGGGCTCTGAAGCAATGGAAATCACAAAAGCCATCCTACAATAAAAGCCAATAAATAGAAACAAGTGCAGGTGACTTTTTTCAAGAAATAAGGATCATTTCACAAGATTTGGCACCACTGTCTTGAAAACCCATCAGTAGCAGGAGATACCGTGGTGCCTTTGGTCTGGTAAGTGTTGCATCTTAGAAACAAGGTTTGATTGTTAAGAGGCAAACTCAGACAGGTAATAAGGCAAGCCATGCACAAACAGACAAGTTTGTTGCATGCGATGTTGGATTCTACAGTGGTACTACCTAGATGTGTTAGATGTTGCTTCATCGGGCTGAAGCTGCCCAGAGGGAGGAAGTGAGTCAGGAATAACATCCACTGGACTCTCCTCAGTAGGAATGGTGCTGGGAATGACTAAGTCTGGAAAAAAAGAAGCAAGCGTAATCACACATTCATAAATCCCTGGGACAGGTTTTCTATTCCTATTGGTTGAAACTGGTCACGTGACCAAGTATTAACATTTGACTGATAATGCCAGCTAAGAAGTGATAATGCCTGCTGTAAATCATGCGCTGGCTCATGGATACAAGACAGTTTAATCGGATCTGATTGATCAGGGGTTGGAAATCCATCATATGTTGACTTCTTTTGACTGTGAATTAAAAGGTATTTATGAATGGGAATAACCATGTGCTTGGCCAGTCTTAAGTTTAAGACCTTGTTCAGGAGAACGAATGCTGATTAATCGTGTCCATTCTCCTCAGCTGGTCTTACATGCATGTTTAAGAGTGGCCAAGCACATATTTATTCCCTAAACTGGGGTGTGCTCCATGCGATATGGGTTTGTACACTGTAAAATGCAATCTTCATGCACATTAACCACTTCGTGCCGGGGTGCCTAGAACCGAAGACATTGGCTTTATACACAAAGCTGGGGTGCCTGAAATTGGACAAAGGAGTTTGGCCTTGTAACAAAAGATCGTGCTCGGATCAAAAGACAGGGCTGCTGGGAATTGCCAACATTTTTTTCAGTTGTTAGTAGCGGAGGAAATCCGTCATTGTTTTGAATGATTATACCACTGTTTGTGGCATTCAGCGCGAGTGGATTACCACAGGGGACAAAAGTGCTCCAGTGCTCCTGGGATTAGCGATACAATACCACTGCATGCAAATCTGGTCCCCACTTGAAAAGACACAAAAGAAAATTACATAACATCGCACAATCTGGGCTCTTTTTACATGGTGGTAGAGCCTAGCTGAAATACTTGCGCGTCAATAGATGTTGTCTGTTAGAGTAGCCACCAGACAGTGATTCGTGTGGGTGTAAATGTCCAGTAAATGAAATAATGAATTTTTGAACAATTTTTAAAATGGAAAATCATGAAAATCCCCCAGGAATACGTCATACAACTTCAAATTAAACCTGGCAGCATATGGTTGATACATGTACATAAAAAACAAAACTGATTTGCCATGAGCTGTCTGTAAAGCACAAATTCGACGCACATGGTAAAAACTTCCCAGAGGCACCACGGAGGACAACCTAAGGTGTTTAAAAAGAGTATAAAGATTCCAAATCAATGATGACTTAGCCTTTTCTGAAACCTACACAGTGCTTAAGTTGACCACAGCCAACACCTAGACACAAGCACTTGGGAAAGTTTCCAACAGATACAGAATTTTTTGGTTTTTGAGACTAGTGCATTAATATTCACGTCTATACAGTACCACTTGCAACATTTGCATACCTGCTGGTATTATGCGTGCCTAAAACAAAATTGGCTTCTGAAAGGAAGCATGTCTAAGACCACCTGCATTTGTCCGGTGTTTGTTTTACAGAGTGAAGTATGAACAAATATGAACACAAATGATCACACTTGTATTTATTTGTTCAGATATGGTCTGCTACCGGTAAGGAACCAGGGTATGAAGCTGCTCAGTAAAACAAAGCTACATCCTCTTCAAGTCAATGTCTAAAAACTAGCTGATAAAATCAGTTAAAAGTGATGCATTTCATGAGTAATTTGGCTGGCAGACAAGGTTTTTTCACAGAGTGAGTCTTCTTGGATTCCTTGCATACAATTATGGCTTAAGAAGATTTGCTCAGCAAAAAAGCAACCGATGAACATTTACAAGCAAAAATGTGACCAGTGACTTGGTTTTCGGTTAGGCATGGTGTGTAGTTCCTCTGTGATGGGCAACTTTGGGAAATCGTTGCTGTTACGTGTACCTGTATTTGAGGCCTCTTGACTATCTTCTTCTGCCTCTGTCATCATGCCTCCACTGTCGCTGTACAATCTGAATTTCCTTGATGGTTTCTTTCTCTTTGATTCCTCCTCCCCTCCTGAAGACACTTGCTCCTCCCTCCGGTATCCCCCATCTCTTCTCGGTGGTTCTTGCTGATGCTCTGGTGCGTCATGTTTATTAACCCGAGACCTGAGCTGTCTCTTCTGCTGGGGTAGGCCATCCTTGCATGTGCTGGATCCGGGGTCAGATCTATGCCCATCGATTCGACTGGGAAGGCCATTCTGTAATCTGGTTGTGCTGGGATGTGGCTGCATCCCTGCTTGTTGGAAGCTGGCACTCGAAGTGGGTCCCGGGTCGGATCTACTCCCGCTGCCTGGCTTGGCATCCTGCAGTCCAGAGGTCTGCTGCTGCCGTGTCATTGCCTCTCGCTGCAGCTTTAGTCGGAGTCCGGTAGGGGTACCGCAAGAGCTTATACTAACCCCTGATGATATGGATGCCTTCTTGCCGATGGATGGGCAGCTGATTTCAGACTCGGCGGCACTGTCGGTAGCTTTGTCTGAAACAACAATCTGGAGTGGTGTCTTGACCCTCTTTGTTGATGACTTAAGTGTAACTGGTGTTTGAGGCTGAGCAAAATCTGTGAAAGAGCCACATGTTCACCGATCTTTGGATTTGTGTACGTTTTGATGACTAAAACTAAAAGCAGGTCAGTCACTTTAATACAAAGGTAACGTCATAAAATAAAAGTTACCAACTTCTAACATTAATTGCCTAGCTTTTTCAAGGTAATGGGGATATGATGTCCATGTTCTCCAAAACAAAGAAGGATCTTACCTGATTTCTTGCAAAGTGGCTTCACAGACGAACTCGACTCTGCCGATGCCACTGATTTTGTGCTGCTGAATCTCTGGGTAGCCACATTTTTGGCCATGGTTGGTGTCCACATGGGGCTGAGCGGAACTGATACCTTATGTTTAGTAGGTGCTCTTGCTTCACTGTCAGTCTTGATGGGTTTTGATCTCGATGCCTGTGATTGTGACACTGTCATTTCAGTTTATGACATGAAATCTTTGCTTACATGTATGTGAGCCATCCCAGTGATTCCGAGTTACATCTGACATGCAAGGCCATTTTACCAATATGTAATAAAAATCAACATCCTATAAACACATACCCTTAGCCCTGACGATTCATCATCAGTACCACCCAAACCGTAGATCTTGGCACTCTGTATGGAGATGGAGTCGCTGCTCTCGTCTGCTGACCGGATATTCCTCCAGGGACCAGGGCTATTGCTGCTGTCATCGACGTGGACCTGGATGCTGACCTTGCTCACTGAAGTCTTGTGCTGAGTCAGTGACAAAACGACTCCAGATGTCAGTGGTAAATCTTAACATCAGATACCAGATTTCATTTCATTTCTTGCCAAAAGGAAAAAATAAGTCCATGTACACACTTTTACAAAGAAGCTATCTACATATGGACTGCAAATGGTACATCATGAGGTATATTAATGCTCAAGTCAGTTAATATAGTGCAATGGTGTAACCAGACCTTGGAATGCCTGAGCTTGTCTTGGCCGAACACAGCAACAGCAGCACACCGAACGTCCACCTTAGCATCAAACACAATGTGTGCACATTTGTCATCACTGGGACAGAATCCTAGAAGCTCAGAGGCAGGAACGTTCAGGGAGATGAACAGGGCCTGTCGACCAACCCTCTCTAAAAAAAAAAAAAACAAGACCAAAAAAAAAAAAAAAAAGGGATGTTTAACTGTGTGTATCCAACATCCATTATCTCAACAGACGTGAAATTTGTCAGGGTTTTTCCTGTTTCAGGGTTTTTATCAGGATTTTCATTATTTCTGCATTTTTCAAATGATCTCTTTTGAAATCTGGAAAATCCTCAATATGCCATGAGGGTGTTTTATGTATAAACATAAATAGAGAACACCAAAAAAATTGGTATTACAAAGGATGCCCGTGAGGAAACACAAGCACAGACTGCAGATAATTAATACATTGCTGTGAAGCCCTCAAAAGCTCAGGCGATTGTTTTATTGACCTTATAATCTCCTCCAATCTCACTCCTTTCCGAGCCTGAGATACAGGAGACAACAAGAAATTAGTTTTAGAACTTTAAAGCTGGAGGTCATTTTTGCAACAAGATTATGTCCGGCTCCCAATCAACAGTAAACTGAAACTAACCTGATAGACGGAACTTCTCAACTGCCTCATTTTGTATTGTGACAGTCTCCCACATACCACCTTCCTGGAAAGTGTAATGATATTATGACAATGACATATTAGCCATGTCCCAGATCAGACAGGGCTTTGGTCACAGTTGAGGGCTTTATGCATCAGAAGCTCTGCAGGGTTTCCGTGGAAAAATGGGCTAATGGAATATCAAGCTGGTAGAAGGGTGACATTTCTAATGACAAAGGGATTTCTGTGAGAAACAAGCTTGAGAATATTACAAGGAGTTTGACCGGAGGCAAAGTGCCTTCATAAAAATTTCTGGGTCTTCAAATGTACAAGAGCCCCCTCACCTCATTCTCCTTTTGCAGTTCCTCATCAGCCACGTACAGGGTGATTCTCCTGCTGACCGTATTGAAGTCCACCCAGAAGTCCTGCAGGTTGACGTCATCTGGGCATCTTAGCTGCCGAATCGAGAACCAGAGCATAAGCACATCATGCATGAACTTGGCACAAGAAGTTCAAATTTCTCTGAGGAAAACGTCGATCCAGTGAAATCCCACAAAGGACGAGAGGAAGGTTATCAGTCAGTTCTGACAAATGATGAATAATTTAAGCTCAAATGTCTGCCCTGGTTTCACTGACAACACACTGACTGAAAACATGCTCATGAATAAAGAATGGCAAACTCTGAAGCAAGATCAAACAATTGGATTGGCTGTTTCATAGATGGAATTACCGGTGGAGGACGTAAGAAAAGCTGGACAGTCATTCATTTATATATACTACAGTTATCCTTGATAAAGTTGGATGTTCACATCATGCAAGGCTTGTACATAATATCCATGGGTATTGCCAAGCTTCTGAAACATAAATAACAAATCACTGTACAACCTTGAAGGAGCCAAGATGAGCACTGAGACAAGGCAGGGAGAACACACTGTAACCAGAAATGAAAAAAGGAAGGGTTGTTTCCAGATTTCAATCAATGCCCTTCTTGAATTGTGCGAAATGAACATTTAGTAGATATATCAAGCCCCAAGTGCTCGCAAGTCATGTTATCACCACAGGGCAATGCAGGGTTGAAACTAGAAAGGTTTTAAACTACAGAGTTTACAATGAAAACTGCAGTGAAAAGAATAGTGCTTTCTGACCTTTGCTTGCTTCCAAGAGAGGAATTGATTGAGTTCAGGAATTTGCGACAATCCTGTAGAAGAAAGAGTATCACATTACTGACGTTAACTGTCCAATAACAAATCAACAGAATATCACCTTCAAATGGGCTTTACCTGAAGTTGTAGCAAGTACTCTTGGCTTTGCTAAGCTCCAAAAAACAAAGTTGTTGAAATTTAAGTTTCAAGGATATCAGTTTTTCTGATAATCTGAAATGTTCGTGTTCCTCTGAGGAGCATGCTATAAGCAGTGTTACCAACATGTTCCTGACTGCAATGCACTGTTTGTAAGAGGAAGCATTTCCAAAGCAGGAAACTGGAACTTCCAGGCTGTTCACAGTTGGAAAAAACATGGTTCTCTATCAGTGTTCTAGCCACGGTGGGCGGCGCTGGGCGGCACTACCCAGTACTGCAAATTTCCGCCTGGCTCTCGGGTTCAAATTGGCTGTGCTGCCCAGCACGGATTTTCAAAAAAATTAACTGGAATATTACTGAAAATCAATGTACCAATTCGATCGTATTTCAAGCATCAGAAAGTGTTAAGAACTGCGCTCACTACGCTTCGCAATCCAAAAATTTACCCAGCACTGAAATGGTTCTAGCTAGATCACTGCAGATGGGGTGAAATGCTCTTGGTGTGTTCCAAGTTAAGAAGCAGACACAACGACTTAAAGAGCAAATACAATTTGGTACCGTTTCAAAGGTATCGTCTCTGATCTCCATAAACGCTGTGGCAAAGTGTGGGTCGGAGAACCAGTCTTTGATCAGGTTAGAGCTAGCCTTGTCTGATCGCTTGACCAGTCTGGCCAGAGACTCAGTACAGGCTACCTGCATCTCAAAATCCCCCGCTGTGGTCAAGAGATCTGCCATCAATCCCCTAAGAACGAGAGAAATGTGGAAAACACTCATTTGCAACCCAATGTTTTCCTATACTTGTACTAAGAAATAACACAGTTTTAAACGGGTCACTAAGTCATCTGGAAATGAAAGTTTGGACAGGTTCACATAATTCCTAGATGTGCTTTTTCATTTAAAATGGGAAATTTCATTAAACGGATGTCAAATATTACAGCTGATGGACTGCTCCAAGACAGGGATGCAATGTTCCATTTCATGGCTTGTTAAAAGTTTGAGAGCAAAATAAAGCTCATGTGATTTATGAAAGGGAAGACCAGAAATTCCCACACCATAGTTGTGGGGACATACACTCGATATTTCACCTATTTTGTGGGGACCAAAAACATTGTGGGGACTCTGAAATATCCCCACAACTTGGTTCAAATTTCCCTAACAAAATAATTTGTCCCCTGAATGCGGTGAAGGCCTACCCTTTGATACCTGTTGATACAGATCACATTCTGTCCAATCAAATGCTATATCTGGTGGTTTGTGAGCAAATGGACCTGCCCCTGATAGAATGCCACCCTGAGGAAACTGACAACACTTACATGCGTTTTAGACTCGGTGGATATTCCCGGAGCACCTGGATAACTTCATCCAAACATCCTTCTAAGAGGAGATTTAATGTGCGGATTGCCTTAAAACAAAACGAGCATAGAAAGGCATAATACACAGATCAAACAATAAAGGTTGGAGGATAGGTATGTTGCCCTTGATAAATTAAAAACTTTGGGTGGTGAGATGAATGTCTGACCAGCGAGTTGGTACCTCTGTGATAATGACGCCAAATGATGTGTCAGCTTGTACAACAAAGAATGTTGTACAACGGACCCAACTCCTGCACCGTGGATTTGTACAACTGATTGTGCATTGTGTAGCTGGTACCCAAGCTGGGGAAATTATAGTGTGCCTCCACATTATTAAACTATCAACACAGATACAGTCCCCACAAGTAAAGAAGAAGCATGTGTGGACTTACCTCCATACGCACATGGAAGTTTTTGTTTTTGTCAACAAAGAGTTGCATGAGCTTCTCTGTGAACACACCCACTGATTGCCTTTTAGCATGCTCGCTGAAATCAGCAACATCCTGACAATATCACCAAATACAGAGGGAAATTAAAGGTGGGAATTTACGTTTTATATGAAAACGTTCAGAAAAATATCATGTATGTATGCAGTGGCTTTAATAATATTCATACAATGCGTGAGGGTAGAGCATTGTTGGCTTTCATCCCGATTGTTCTTGGGAATAAAAACTTTCTCATACTGTTTAAACATTTAAATGTGTAAATATCCCATCCTTACCATTGAAAATGTTTAACACAACAAATTGTAGCAATGTAAACAGTTGACACACAAAGTTCCAGTGACGAATTCATTGTTTTCCTTCGGAATGACTGAGCAGTGAAGTGTTCTGAAAGTCAGATTACCTTTTACAGGCATTGTTTACAATAAAAAGGAATGCCAGATTGCGTCAATTAACCATAAAACCTGTTAAAGGGGATGTTCCATTTAAACATTTGGGAAAATCTGTACGGATTTGGAATGTTTTTCCATTTAAATGTGTAAATGTCCCATGCTTAATTAAGGGAAACCACAAAAAAACAGGCCTCTCATCAGCCTCTCATAAAAAGGCTTTAGCTGAACATTATTTCCGGCTCTTTTTGTAATTAGCCTTTATTACAACCAAGGATTGAAATAGCAATTTGACGATAAATTGTAATTCCAGTACTTCCAGGATTTTGATGGTGAGGCTAGGGAGGGAATTGGGGAGAGATGCAGATGGGACAAGTGAGCTTGGGACAAATTCTTCTGCTAAGAACCCTTTTACTCACGTTGACTGTCTCCAGAATCACCTCAAAGAGAGAATCTGCCGTCAGATTCACCTCAGTACCATCAGAGAGGGAGACATACTTCTGGGTCTCTTCCAAAGCATAGGCTGTAATGAAATACAGTTTGAAATTACCCGACCATGTCTACATCTTCGTTATTCAAAATGACAACTAAACACTGTATTGTGGCAAGATACTGCAGAGTAATGCAGTCACACTCACCAAGGAGATCGATCAAACCATTTGACAGGAGTACAGGGAGCCCTGCTGGGTAATCTGGAAATCGTGTGGTGAACTGGATTGCAGATATCATGACAACGGCATCTTGGAACTGTTGCTTTGCCAGCTCCTGTTCATGCAAAAAAAGAGGAGAAGGATGTTAGTCTGACAGCAGTAAGCTAGATGGAAACAATCATTTTAGATTTGATGAAAACAAGACGTCATGTACACATCAACAGATATTAACAAGATGCAACATGGGCGTTTTACAATAGTGCACCTCCAAGAGTTTGCAACGCACTGGCCAATCATCACGCGAGAAATCTGTCTACCCAATGCATGTTTGGAAAGGGTCAACAGATTTCGCGCATTGTGATTGGCCAATGCATTGCAAACTCTCAGAGGCACACTATTGTGAATCACGTGTGTTCACATGGTCTAATCAATTTGAGATGGAAAACTAAAATAATAAATTTGCTTACCTCAATGGGATGCACTGACTCAAGATATATACAACGTAGGCCTTTTGTGAGTTAAATTTGAATAGAATCTGGTACTCTGAGTTATCTGATTGCACTTAAACATAACAATATGAATTCCCCAGACTAAAGACAGTGTTGCTATACCTCGTGATTCAGGGCAAGTTTTTACATAGTGACCACCATCTCTGGAATGGACTGGTTCCTTTGTGCCCTTTCTATCCCTTGAAAACAGTATATTGGTGCAAGGCATCTCTTGTAAGCAAAAGCTTACCCAATTCACAAGGTATAACAACCCTGTCTTTAGTACGGAGAATTCAAATTGAAGATTTGATTCAAATTTCATACAAATTTAACTTGCAAAAATGTTATTGTTACGTGACATTAATGTAACTTAGAAATCTTTTGTTGTGTTAGGTTATGAAAGTGCAATTTTTTTTTTAAAAGGAGGGCTTAGTGAATTTTCAAGTCACAAATTCCTAGGGGGTAAGTTCACCTCTTGTAGCACCACGGTGATCTTCTTCATCACCTCCACGCTGCACTGCTGTGGACCTGGTTGCTTCTTGGTGTTCTGCTCCTGCAGGAAGTCCTGGATGTCTTGGAAGTAAGACTGCTGCTGGGCCTTCCTCATCAAGACATACTCCAGCTTTATAGAAGATACAAGAATTTTTTTTGCGGACCACAATAACTGCTTAATGGTTATGTGATATTGGGGATATCAAACAACTGGTTTTCCCTCATTAAGCAATGCAGTAAAAGTGCTTTTGAGAGGTTGTGGAGAGAAACTAACAAGTTGGCTCGGGTGGGACTCAAACCAATGACCATCTGCTTACTAGTTCAGAGGTCTCAACCACTCCACTACCAAGCCTCACCGGGTCTGTTGGTCAGTTCAAATTTAGTACAGCAGGTTCTACAGTCAGTAAGTGTTGAAGGAATTTCACATTAAGATAGAAAGTAAAAATCTACTGACAATGAAAAAAGTTATTCTCAAGCACCACTGCGACAAAGTCCTCACACTGACATACATTTGTCTCGTACATCTGTCAGATGCAATATACATGTACCTGGTCATAATGGCTGAACATTGCTTACGTATGCCTTGTCTCATTTACATGTATGTGAGGATCAGTGTGCACATATGAGAATTTTTATTTTTGGTCATCATGACAAAATTTCTATCAATCCATGTTTTATTAAATTGCGAAACACCATTGCCAGATTGCGTTTACACTGGTTATACCTGTGAAGCTTGAAATTGAATGAATCATACATTAGGTACCAGTAAGCCCCACCTCTCGATCTGTTGTTCCCAACTTGACTGGCATTTTGTTGATAGGCTTACTTCAGTACTTGACTGTCTGGTCACCGGCTATGAAACTTTCCTATCTGTAACATCATGAAATAATAAAGTAGGCTTAGGCCCATATGTGTAAATTGACATTAGAATGATGAATAAGCCTACATGCTGAAACAATCAGACAATGGATTTTGAATGATATCAATCCCAATACTTTTTCTAGCTGTCATGGACTTGATAATTATAAGCCTCACCATAGGCTACTTACGTTAATGTTTGTTGTTACTGTAAACATGGTGAGGCCTCTTTAGCCATGGCATGTTCGCATACCGTAGGCCATGGCATGTAGGCCTAGGGGGCTGGCCCTGGGGCTTACATGTAGGATATTGTAATAGGCCTAGGCCTAACTAGTCCTAATTTCCCTAGAGCTTTGAAAAGTGGAACAGGGCTGGATTGTTATTTACCATGTTCCCAGTTATAGGCCTAGGCCCAGTCTATATTTAGGTCCTACATTGGAAAGGATTTCTTATATGGACACCAGGCACTAGCAATTAACGTAACTATTTCTCTCTCCAGTGCATCAAATTTCCCGGTGTCATGAGCACTTCAGGTGGGGCCGCTGCTGCTAACGTTAGGCCTGCAAATCATCAGATGGAAAAGCCTGTTAAGTGGTATCTGCTGAACATACCTTCTAAATACAATGTAACTGACAAACAAATCTAATGAAGGATGAACAAGACGATCCAAACAGTCCCATCACTGCAACAGCAAGCTTTCATTGACGGGTGGATGAGGGGATTACACATCACGTCCATCTTGAAAAAGTTTCTTGTAATTTTTTTATCAATGCATTGTGGGACTTTGTAGACTCTTCCATTTCTAAAAAAGGTGGGTTACTTTAAAGGAAAGGTCGAAAAAAAGATGCAACATTCATACTAAACATTTTTATGGGGATTAGACATCCAAACTTTATTGTAGAATATTGTGGATTTTTCAGATTTATGTTTTTCAGGAATATTTTATTTCCAAAAACAAATCAACGTAATCCAAATTCGATAACTGGTATACCTAAATCAGAATGGTGCAAACCACAAGAAGGAAGGTTGTCTGCTGCCAAGCGAACGGTGTCTAGTTTACTAAGTTCGATTTCAGCTTGCATGAACAATGCTTGCAACAGCTTTTTAAATCAATCTTGAATTTTGGATTGCTCTCAGTAAGCCTTGAAGTTCACCACTGGCGTACAGATGTATCAAATCTTACGATAAAATTATTTATTTCATAACTGATCTTTTACATTTTTTGTAAATGATCGGAGGCCGACAAAATTGAATTGGTAGTGAAAACTGCAAAAAATGCGAATTATTCTTTGCAGTATGATTTTTACGATTGCGATTTTTTTAAGCAACCTTAAGTCCTTAAAAACAAGTGGGCCAATGCTCCAAATATCACCACTACTATGTTCCAATAGAAAATTCCTTTCCGTAGGCTTTCAAGGGTGTAGCTTGCCTATAGATTTGACATTTACAATAAGTTAGACGTCTAAAATGCCATCTGACATCGTTTGCTTCCTGGCGCCCTCGTGTACTGTAAACCTCTCCCTGATATTACCCTCTATGGGCGGCAAAAGTTTGTAGTAGTGCCGGTACCACGATTGGTTGGTGTCAGATTTTGCTTTCAATATTAATGCACGTTAATGTTGCCCCACCACTTTAAAGAGGGCCATATCTTCTTTTACAGTATTTATAGCAGTGGTAAACTTGTATTTCTCTTTTTTGGTAGTTGAATGCAATTTTTTAAAATGCCGTGGATTTGGCCTACTCTTAGGATAGGACCCTGGGCATTTTTTACCGACGGCCTGCCATAGTTTACAAGCCATGCACTGGTAGGCCTACAAGATAAAAGATACACGACTATGAAGTAAAAACGAGAGGCCCGTCGTTTTAGTGTGGAACACGCTCATTCGTAACATCCGGCCAGGATACAATGTCATTAAAATCCCGGAATTCCGCCGAACACGCTCTCATTTTTGTTATAATTCCGAAAGAAAAGTATGACACTTCTTCATCCCCGAACCTTGCCAAATTTACTCCAGTTAGTATGTTCCCATCCCCCCAGAGATCAGACAGATGCCTTAAAGGCCTCATCGTCAAAATTGCACAATGAAGATGAAGAAGACACGGATATCCTTCAAAGTAAGCCTCCATATCACTTTTATTTCGCATACAACTTGTATGGGCGGCCAAACATTTCAGAAATATCACCTGTTTTAAATAGCTTTCAATTTTACCGCCCATTCGTTCAAAGCTGACTTATTTCCCATTAATTTTGAATAGGGTCGTAGTTTTAATTAATAATTAGTAGTACATGTATTATCATCTGGTGTTCAGATAGCTGGGTGGGATATCAAACACTTTGTGAATTATTCGTTTATTTTTGTCCCGACGGCCGACCATAGGGTCAGCAGCCACTTGAAGGATCTAGGCATAGTATGTCGTATATGACCTTCTCAATACACGCCTCAATTCGCGTTCTGTTTGAAAAAGCGACCACATGTACTGCAAACAAAACTAGAGTAAGCCCAGGACACGAGGCAAAAATACACAAAGGGAAACATTTTAATCGTAAATACTTTTTATTATAAACACTCAGTATAAAACAAAATGATACACATCCAAAATAAATAAAATAAACAGACATTTGTGTTTATAGTAATACGGGCGATTCACAGTCGTGCACCTCCAAGAGTTTGCAACGCATTGGCCAATCACAACGCGCAAAATCTGTCGACCCTTTCCAAATGCGCATTGGGTCGGCAGATTTCGCACACTGTGATTAACCAACGCGTTGCAAACTCTTGGAGGCGCACTATTGTGAAGCGCCCGTATCACTGTAATGGTTATAGATGTCATATGCACATATGTAAACTAATGCTCCAAAGTGACAAAATAGTCGACAGAACACACGGGGAATCCAATGGAATTTAGCTTCAAGTCATGTCATTTTGAAACACTGGTAGCATATGTCCGATAACAGGCGTCTGCTTTGTCAACATTTGGATAACCGTCATGAATTTCATGTAGTTTTATTACCAAGCTAAAAGTGACATTATGCAGAATACTTTTATGACAGTGGCCGCCTGTAATAAAGGGTCATGCAAACTTAAGGTGAGGTATTATGTCTCCAGTGAGGCTCTCGGTAAACTTGTGTCAGCGCTGCTTGCCAAATACAACAATGGCCGACTTTCTCAAAAAAAAAATTGTTATGGGAACGAGATTAAGATGTATTGCAGCCCCAACATACTGAATTTTACGCACGGCGTCATACAGAAATGCAATATATTCATGACTCCAAACTTGAGAAACAAGCCATGCATGCGAGTCGAACCCGTTCTAAACTCGGCTGATGAAGTCATCATGTGTAATTCTTAACCGATGTAACACATGCAGAATGACCAAACTAAATTGAATACACCCCACTCAAAATGAAAACCTACAAAAAGATCTATACCGAAAAACGGCATTGTTATTGCACAAGACACTTCACACCAATAAATAATTTTAAATTTAGAGACAAATACAAACGCAGGAAAAAGCAAGGATAGAGTTAGGACATTTAAGAGCTGTCGAACCGAATACCACTTATCATGACAAACTGAATAGTGACCTCACAAAATTCTGCAAAGCAATACGATTACAAATTCAAGTTGTTATTGCACAGATCACCGATTCGGAATTCCGATAGTACTCGATAAAGACATAAATAAATACAACACACATTTTTTTTCTCATTTTTGTCAACTTAAGATAAAAACTATCAGATTTGGTATCAAAAATAATTGCATTTATAAAAGACACACGACTTGATAAAGATAAAGATTACAGAAATACATTAGCTCAGATTGATGACTTAGTACATGTTAAAATTGCAATAAACCATCCGGTCAAGTTGGGCGGTTTTCAAGAACAACCAATCAGAAGGCGTCGCACAGATTAAAAGAGGAAGCAACTGGTCTTTGGGACGTTAACACGATTTAGTTGCGAGTAAACCAAATCAGTACAATTTAGAACAGGATTTTTTTTATACAAAGCTGTTCATTGATACTTATTGACACAAAACAGAAAAATAAAGTTCCCTTGTTTCTTTCCCCTCGAAACAATAGAATATGTGGTGAAGCACGTCTCACTAGGGTTAAGAATTTGCAAAGATGGAAGTAGAAAAGATGTATAAAATCGTTTTAAAAATGCATAGGCCTATTCAAGGAAGCCACGTGTGAAAACATTGCACTTTTCCATCCTGTATACCAAGATCTTACTGGTATTTGGAAACAAATGCTGCTTTCAGGCTATTCAAGATAGCCCGGGCCCTTACAAAAAACGGCACGTGTGAACAGCTCACACAAAAGCAAAAACTGGCTCCCCCAATGGAACCAATCTGTAGACGTCATCTTCAGTCGTCATTGACGCCTTTTCAGGTCTCTTGCGAATCTCCAGCATCGGTGCGACTCTCCAAGGCAAGCAGAATGTCGGCGGCCGACGGTCGATCCGCAACGCAGCCCTCCCAGCATCTTGTGACCAGGCTTTCATACCAGGGTTCGCTGGCATTCTCCGGCAGGCTGGGTCGTAGATTGTGCGCTACCACGCCAAAGATGACTACGTGGTGGTTCTCACCGGCAAAGGGCGTTTCTCTGGTCAACATCTGCCACAGGGTGACCCCGTATGAGTAAATGTCGGCTTTAGTCGTTGGAGGCCTCCCCCGGAGCAGCTCCGGTGCACGATAGGCAAAGGTTCCTGTTAGATACGACTGGCTGGTGAATGCCACATTGTCCTCTCCGTCATGTACCCGTTGAGAACAGCCAAAATCGGCCAGTCTGCACGAGTCAGTGTTGAAGTCGATAATAACATTTGCTGGTTTCACGTCTAAGTGGGCGATGCCCTGGGAGTGGGTGTAGTGCAGCGCGCGAATGATGTGCAGGGCATACTTGGTGCGGCGCGTGGGCGACAGGTTCTTCCCAGGGTCGTTAATGATTTGCTGGAGGTTTTTCCTACCCGCATATTCCATGATGATAAATGCGCCCGAATCAAAATCCTCGTAAGCGGTGGTGGCCAGTACACTGACGATATTCTCGTGCCGCAAGAAGAGAGCGTTGAATTCCGCCTTGAAGCTCTGCCGGCTGGCTTCCTTGTTCCGTGAGCACTGGCGGACGCTCTTGATGGCAACGCGTCGCCCGCAATATCTCCCCAGGAACACTGAGCCAAACCCTCCACTGCCTATCACCCCGTCGATGCTGAAGTCAGCGTGACCGACGCTGGCGTTGTAATCGCGGTCGTCCCAGTTGTCGTTCCTCACACCAATAAAGCAGTTACCATTTGTGTCCTCTCCTTGGTGGTACTCCGCCGAGTTGGTCACGAAGGCCGAGTTGACGCTTCCCCGTCTGGCCACCATAATGCCGCTGTCTTGACCCTCGTACCTCGCCCAGTTGTCCGCTGTGTTGCACGGCATACTCTCAAGCTCCCTGTAGGAAACCACTTGTTGAGTCTTGTACCAATCTCGGTCGATCTCCTCCACAGAGTGGTACCTTCTTTTCCTCCGGTTCAAATAGATCAAGTCCTCCTCTGAGCTGGTTTTCTGGCATAGATTCTCGGCAGATCCGTAGCGTCTGAATCGTTTCAGGTACTTTCTGTAAATGCCCAACAGCATCAAGTGTCTCCGTAGCAAGCGGATGATCACCTGAAAAATCTTTGTCATGCTTGCAGTGACGTAACGCACTTCGGCGCCAACGAGACACACAAAAGGGTTGCAATTTCAAGCCAGATTCATCACCGGGCTTGCAAATACCGATCTTGATGTCCGCGCAGTTGGATACAAACATTCAAACACAGCTCCAGCGCTATTCATTACCGAAAATAGGTAAAACAAAGCGCCGACAGTTAAAGCGACTCTCTCCACGCGCAATCACACCGGTTAAGGAGACCGCTCCTCGCACGCGGTTTTTGACGTGCCGGTATCACGTAAAATGACAGATATGTCTGGTTCACTAAGGTCATTGCGACAGATGACAATTCTGCGGCGTTCCACAGTATGTCTATGTATATGTTGAGAGTGACCCGCGTAATTTCATCGTAAATTTTTACGAGCCGGCTTATTTTCATAAATTTTCATAAGTAGGTTTGCTTTAGACCTGACACCAGTCGGTTGCATGCTCTTACCTGCCTGTACCGTCACACCTAGATCGAATGCATGTAGACAACTCGCCATAGTCTCTGGGAAGTACAGTCCCTGCAAGCATTATACTTAAGGCCGACTTCAATTAAGCCTGAGGTGGCAGGCAAAATGTGCCCTAAATTTATGACACGGGTGTTGACGACTTGTAGCAAGTTTACTGTCACCCTGGATCGACCACGTCTCGATGAACCTGCAACTGCATGGTCCAAAGCACAAAAGGGTATTAATTACTTTTTCACATTAGCAATTCATGCATGGTGGGTATAAATGATCTATTCGAAGATAAGTTTCACTGGGGCTTGTTATCATAATTCCTGAGGGGGAAAGTGTCATGCGTAAAGAAATGCTAGAAGCAACAGCTCCACTTTGTTGGCGTTGCGGGGGGCGTGACTGCTGCGTGGTCGTTTAGCGGCGGGGTAGGGGCGAGACCGCACTTTATTTGGTTGGTTTTGACAGCGAGGGAGGAGAAGGGGGGGAGCAAATTCACTTGAATTCGAGGACCGGTAAAGCTATCACTGCCATGGTCATTTCCAATGCCGACCCGCGCCAGTGGCGAAAAGCATTGTGATACAACTGTGCTGGGCGTTCAGACTGTGATAGTCGCTCTGTGCAAAACCGTACAATGCTTTCCACCATAATGAAGGGGGATGTGGTCCATGCGTAGCCAGGATTTTAGCAAGGGGGAAAATTTCATCTCCAGTCACCTTTTTTATTTTTGCCCCCGCTTTCTTCCTCTTTTTATTTTCCCCATTTTTTTGGGGGGGGGTGAAGGGGGAAGCACTCCTCCCCCACTCGCCACGCCCACGGGCCATGGGGATTGTCCAGTGAATTACGTCGTCTACTGTTTGGAGATCCAGTGTCAAAGTCTCGGTGAAGAAGAGTAAAAAAGTCTCGCTGTTGCTAAGCGGATCAGTGGCGCATCCAGCTTTTGATGGGGGGGGGAATTCAAAAGCGAAAGCGGCTTCGGGCTCATTCAACATGATGTTGGGGAGGGAAAAAAAATCAAGTCTTTAATGCGGTTCCGAAATCCTTGCTTTTATTTGCTGGTGTTGTTTTCTTAGCGGGTTTAAGATTTGATAAATAAATATACCGAATACTCTCTTTTCTACTTACCTCTGAAGTTTTCTTTGTTGAAGGTTAAAGCGCTTTGGACGTCAAAACTGCACGGAAAAAGTTGCTTATTAAATAACAAAAACTTCCGGTTTGATGGCGTCACGGAAGTTACGGGTTCATCAGAACTCGCCCTCCTAACTTGCGCCTAACTGATGTAGTCAATGCGGCACCTGGATTTGGACTTTCTTGTACCTTAACACCCACGTAGATCCATAGGCCTACATCTGCAAGTGCATTTTACACCTGTTTCGCTGGCACGTGCACCCGATCAAGCCTTTCTCCGGCAGGTGCAAGTCCAACAACCCTGGGGATGCGCCAGGTGAGAATACCGCACGGACCCTCTTCAGCCAACTAGTTATTTGGGGATGAAGACAAACAACGGCAGATACAATAATTCATCAATGACTTCTCAGTTAGCAACTTGAAGCATCTAAAATACTACAGTCATGGAAATGCTGGTGCGCACTCATTACTGACTGTGTTTAATTTAACCAGTGAATCAAAAACCCACAAAAACCTGTAACACTGACCATATAGGGTGTCTTGTCATAATGCGAACATTCACAATGCGTCTCAGCATATCCACTCCACATGCGTTGGTCATGCAATTCTGTGCCAAAATGATGAGCAAGCACAGAGTGGTATCAAATAAACAGTTTTTTGGGAGCTGCAATCAATTTGTTTCAATACAAGCCTTCGCAATGCACCTTTGTGTCTCAGATGACCTTATGTTTCACCTTTGTTTTACTATTTCAAATGGTATTTTACTCTTTTTTATTTTCTGCTAATGAGATTTCCATACTCATCGGCAAAACGGTGACGTTATCCCAGGGAAAAAGGCTACAATGGTCCGTACAAAAAAATCCTGTATTTTTGTACATGTTGCTGGGATGAATTTTCTCTTCTTTGCCGATTCGTTGTTCATGCATATGTGAATAGCAAATATGCCAGCATTAGTAAGTAAAATCTGGGCTCACAATTTGAATAGAAAACCGATGCACATAACTACATGGATGTTTTCCATGGATGACATCACAATAACAGCGTCCTCAGTTGTCCAAGAAAGCAAAGATAACCAGAAGTGTTTAAAAAGTGCACTTTTCCCATACATTAACCAAACAGGTATGTAAAAGAGTTTTCATACACTGAAGACGAGTACAAAGTTGCAAAAAAAAAACAAAAACAAAACAAATTATGTAACAAAAAAATCATTGAAGCCAGTTTGATGAAAAGAAACGTGCAAAACAAAACTTCGAAGTGGGCCAAAGCGCAAATACATTATTTTCTGCATAAAGATGAGAGGCTTGGGGCTTAATTGCATTCAATTTCACGTAATGGTCGCAGCTTACGATGTGTTCCACGCTATGATTCTGCGTGATTACTTTACAGCTGCGAATCAACTAACCAGGATTGAGCGTATAGTCGGAAGATAACCCGACATATGCCAGGATTCAAATTATATTTGCATTGGAGCGATAAGGTATTCGTTTGTATCACTACGGTCCCGGTTTTATCAGTTAGCTAATGCATTTTCGACATGGACCATTTCGACACGTCCTTCTTTGCGCTAAATTTTTCGGCGGCTTCATCTGACAACTAACAGTTAGTAAATTATTAGAGAATCCAACAAAATGACACCGGCTCCACTGGATTCCTTTTATTTCTCATTATCTTATTACATACTCACATATCGATCGCTTCATCGAAGTATATGGAATTTTTCCATTATAATAAACGCGATGTTATTCATAAATTTTCTCTCTGAATGAAATTGACGTGTTAGGAACCTGTACCAGAATATACACATAAATGTACTGCATTTCAAGAATGCAAACATTTTACTTTATAGTGGCATTTATAACATGATTTCCGTAACTACAGATCTACTATACAGAATATGAAGTCAAACTGAACGGAATTGATAAACCCTATGATAACATAACATGTATTAATTAATGACCATACTCGAACATCTACATCTGCACCGTTTAAGATAATTACAGAACATCTAGTGTGTACCTGGACATGGCTAGTCTGACAAGATGAGGACTCTTGACATCGAGGAAAATTTCTCCGCAATTAAAACGTCTGTTCGAGAGAGTGAGACATGACAGCAGTGGCGTAGCCAGGGAGGGGGAACTGCCCCTGCGGGAAGCCTTGCCCCCTCCCCCCAGAAAAGACCCTGGCTACGTAGCCAAGGGGTGGGGTGGGGTGAACTACCCCCTCCATGGAAACTCCTGCCCGCCCCTTGAGAAAAGCCTGGCTATGCCATTGCACGAGACAGCCATAAATTAATGCTTGCAAGGTTTTTTCAACAGCCAGATTTCTTGCTTTTTAAAGGTGTTACTTAAAGTAAAATGAAAAGGAAAATATACACTGATGACTGCATAAATTTCTATCAAGTGGGAAATCCTGAAATGTAGGAGATTGAAAAGTAAAAGACTACAGGTTCTGTCCAAAAGAGAGTAGTCACATTATAGTGTGTTAACTTTGCAAGATTGTGGAGATAATCAAATAATATCCTGCAACACACTCTCAGTTAAGCAGGCATTTTATAGCCCCCTGCCCCCTACAAAAAAATTATTGTCATATCCCCTACAAGTAGTTCCAGCGGCGGATTTAAATATCATAATTAGAGGGGCTATTTTGTACACACTGTCTTTTACCGTTTTGTTTAGTGTGAAGATTGACATTTGCATGTTCATATCAGTTGTGCAGTTGCAGTCAAGTAAACGTACACAAAAAATAGCCTTGTTGGAATGTCTCCGCTGTGTGATGCCAATCAATTATGTTAATTTTAGTTTGGAATAATCCATACTCGAGGCACAGTTTACATTCCAAGTACATGCATTCACTGGCACATTACATAAATTAATTCACTTCTATCTCTATCAGGCTTTCCAGCACGGGCCAGTTTAGGTAGCTGTACAGTTTAAAAGATGGGAATGGTGACTGGTGGGTTGGTAAAGTAAAAGAGTTGGTGCACCATGAATTTGTAGTGGGAAAGTTTCAAGCCAGTTGGGACAGGTCTTGATGTTTCTCTTGAGAACAAACAAAGCACGCTGATTGAAACATCAATAGTTTCCCTCACAATCGTCTTTTTTTTCTGGGCCGACACCTTCTCACCAAAAAATTTCCATAATAATGTCCTTGCAAAGCTACCTCCCTAACATCCAACAAGCTACACGTCCTCCATGTTCAGTAATTCTTTAATAGCCTGCTTGAAATTTGTCATTTTTGCTGTCAGCCCAGGACAAAGTGAAACTTTGAAACCGTTGCACAGAAAGTTACCCTCCTGAGTAACCTATCGCCCTTAGTCACCTCTAGCTCTGAATGGATGAATGTTTGTGACAGACGGTGGAGTTCAAAGACAAAGATTAGTCAAGCCCTGAATTTTAAAAGTCTAATTTATACTGTACAAGTCCGAGCTCTATTGTTGCAGCATCTCAGACGCAGCACCAAAGCGTCAGTTCAGGCTGTTCAACTGTATGCCTAAAGTCTGTCACAATTATGATGTTACACTGGTGCCTCTTGAATCAACTTCACCATTGGAACAGTTTTTACAAGAGAGCTTTATCTCCTTCCTTTTTTTATTTCAAAGTGACACCGAGAATTATGCCCACAATGGCAAGTAGCACCACCACACATATCGCAATGCAACACATCTTCCTCCGCGCTTTTTGCTGCAAGAGATCAGAGAGGTGCAAGAAAGGGGTCAGAGCATCTGCTGGACTTGTCGTGCCAGACAATGAGAAATGTGGCATCAGCGAAAAACCAAGCATCGGCGAGAATAGAGAAAGTTAGCGCAAACACATGTGTTTGCTAAATCGTGCCACAGCAAAGGAGATGAGCAAGCAAGTGCAGACAAGATGGCCAGCACTAGACAGGCTGCCCTCCCTCCACAGCCCTTCAACCCCGCCACCCCCTTCATAAATACAACACAATGTCTACAGGTGGAAAGGCAAACGTTACCCTCAAAACTGATCACTTCAAACGAAAGCAGGCAATTGGGTATTTTTATCTAGTCTGCTGTGAAAAGATGAGGATGTACTGGCAGGTGCTCTACCTTGGGCTAACAGTCAGCAGGACTCAATGATAAAGGCAACACGGTCTACTAATCGGTTTGCTTGCTTTGCAACATGCAGAAAGCCCCACATAGTAATTTCATATTGGCACAACTGACAAGTTTTGTTTAATAGTTCCGATCTCACTTTGTGCCTGTTACGATTTCAGAACAATCCACTTCTTACATGTGACCCGATCAACTACATGTACATGTATGTGAATGACGTTGAGGTGCTTGTTTTGCATATCTGCATATGCAAAAGAAAGAATGTGGCATGCTACTGGGACGTCCCTCATGTGTGTCAACCTAATCAAAGTACAGACATTCAACGGGTGGCGACCTTTGACAGTTTCAACTGATTTCCATCCTGTGAGAATTGTTTGAAGGTCTCTGGCTAAAAAGCAGTTCACCAATCATTTTGTTAAAGCTGGTTCACAAGTTTTGTCGCTGTCCCCCCAAAACCGACACCCTGAGCACACCTTGCGTAGTAGCAGGTGCATCATTTGAGTTTGACAATGAGCACAATGGTGATGATGAGGGCGGTGATGGCCATGAGAACAAGGCAGAAGCACATTTTCTTGCGCGCCTTTTTCTGCGAAATGAACGAGAAAGAAACGGGGTATAACTAAGAGAATGGGACTGATTGAACTTGACTAACTGCATGAATGTCTGTTTTCCTACTTGTTATACCAAGTAAAAAACAAACTCAATCCAGAATGATCCCTATATGAAAGACCTCTTCCATGGCACCGTTTTGAAGACAAAGAAATGTAACTTATGGATGAAATGGAACTTTGAGAAGTGTGCTCCAAATTTGCAGCAATTAAAAAAAAGTTGGCTACAACGGTGCTAGTAACCAACATGTAGCAGGGAACTTCCATGACCAATTGTTCCCGCATCCTAATCATTATCCGCCCCGAGCCGAAGTGCGCCCCCTATTGTTGAAAGAAAGACAGGTCATTACAAGCGGGTTCTTGCACACAAAGACCATACATGCCGGAGTAAATTATTTACATGTACTCAGTGTGAGGCTCTGCATCAAAAGCTCATTTACTTGCTTGTGTCATGGAGTGCCTATGCGGCGAGTACCAAAAAACATGCCCTCTTTTGTTCCGCTCGGAGCGGATTGAGATGTTGAACATGTTTCAAGGTTTAATGAAGTTTTGCAAAATCCATTCATGAAACACTACACGGATATGCAGCATTTTAACTGTGAAAATTCTTATCCTTAAGTTTATGTGGTATGTGCTTTTGCATTGGTAGTTTACAACTTGGCTAATTCTGCCGGGGTCCATAACTGTGTTGACACTGCACTTAACTGGAAGTCTTAAGGGAAGTCGTGAACCTGCCATATTGGTGGAAGAGGCATTTAATACCTACTTACGACCTGCGAAGCAGTGTTAGAGGTCTCGAGGCTGGCCTCGGTGACCCTGGCCTCGGACTTAACCTTGAATGCTGCAGACTCGACTCCAACATTGCTGCGAAGAAGCGCGGTACCATACCAGTAATGGCTTATAAATTCTGACCACCAGATTAGTCTAAAGAGTACTCAAGCATGATGTCATTTGAATCAGGAAGTGTAGCAAACCAGAAGTGTAGTGACTGTTGGTTCACATGCTGATTCCTTTTATACACATAATTGTGCACCTGACACATTCACTTTCGTACTCTAGGCAATTGTGAAGGAAGTACATTGTAAGTTGGCTGTGGTTGCAAGGTGCATGATTGGCTTTATTTTTTTTACCAGTGGCCCATGTGATTCTCAGGATAGATGTAGAACTAAACTTAATGAAATGGGGTGAGCCACAGGCTTGATGCTTGGAATCATCAGCACCAGAGAAGGTACAAGGTCAAGGTGCACAAGCTATCTGCTCCGAGCAGAACAAATGAGGGCGTAGTTTTCTTGGTACTCACCACATAGGTCCGCCATGAGGCGCACAAGTATGTGTGCGTTTGACACAAAGCATGCTGAGTACGTGTAACTAATTTATTCCGGCATGTATGGTCTTTGCGTACATGCAGAACGTATGCAAGAACCCGCTTGTAACCAAATGTCTTTCTTTCGCCGATGGGGGTGTCCTTCAGCTCGCGGCGGATAGGTAATCAGTAATTTGGCTGACGTCACTTGAACGCAGAATGGATGGGCTTATCAATTTAGCCATCTTGAACTGAACCTTGAGGAACAGTCCTCATGCTGGTTCTCAAAATCCTTGGTCTGCGGTCATGAAAATAATTGCATTAAATAGCAGCAATTGCCAGAGCAGATAGAAATATAACTAACAGGAAATACGGGCACTGACATTGTCACCCGATGCCAATGGGTGATGCGAACATTTTGTCAACAGTGGTTTGAATTGAATTATTCAAGAGGTAAAACTGAATCATGTGTTTTTACTGGTTAACAAAAGAGACAGATGATGAAAGCATGATTCAAGCTCAGGATTGCTCAGGGGTGGAATTGAGTCAATGTGTATGGTTCAGAGAACTAAGGTTGAATTCTAAAAGTGTCAGGTTTCCAGAGCTGGGAACCTGTTTGCGCCGTGTTAGCCCTATGCTGTCTGACAGTCTGGTAACTTGCCTCAACTCATGGGGAAGGGAAGAGGGAACCTTTAGGTCAAGTTTACAACTTATGATCTGACAAAGAGGTGGTGATGGAATGCAGACCGACATCAGCTTATAGTTTTTGCCTTGGCGATTGGCAGTCTCTGGTGCTTTCTTTTGATATTCATGCTTCTGCTTGTACAGTTATGTTTATAAAGGCAAACTACGCGTACATGTGGTGTTTGTTGTGTCGAAAGTAACAGGAGTCTATCCAAACATGTGCAAAATCCAGAGGCCATTTTGTATGGTCAAATACATTAGTCTGATAATAATGATACAAGTAACTTTTTGTATAGATGGTGACCATTTCATGGAAGATTTTCAATGGGCCGTCAATGGCAATTTGAGAAATGCAATGATGTATCAACTTTAAATTCAAACTGTCTGTAAAATGAGGATAGTGCTCAGGTTTTAGAGTTGGGATGAAAATGCCAGCTTGACACTCCAGAGATAACCTGGGGAGTCAGGTACGGACTGAAAACCCAATCCACGCGATGGCTGGGATGAGATTCGAACCTGGGCTGCACATGTGGAAGGGGAGAACAGTATCACTAACCCGGCTAACTCACTAGCATGCAAAGAAACCCTCTGTGCAGGCAGAGATTGAAAAGTGAGCCCACTGGTGTTGAATAAGAGTAAACTCGGAAGTCACAGTGCATGGTGTGCAATGACGGACATTGTGCGCTGACAGTTCAACCAGTGCTTAAGACAATGAATTGTACACAGAGCAGCTAAACGCAACTGTCTGATCTCACAGTTACACTGCTTCTTGGCAATCATTCAAAAGCCAATTTCGGCAGGCAGATATTCTCTGCTCGCAGCTCTGTGAAAGAAGCGAGAGACGCCTACCTGATACTTGCTGGCTGTCTGCAGCTGCGTTGCGGCACCCTCTACATTGCTGGATGCCCTGTCTATGTTAGCCTCGATCGAGTCTGACCAGAAAAAGAAAAGAAAGAACTCAACTTTGATACGGTGCGTCATCAGCTGATTTTATTCAGGTAAACCCGGACTTCTTGTGGCACTTTGGCCAAGGAGAGGGGAGATTTTTTCTTCAAATGTATGTGTTGAGCCATGTCTGAGTCAAACGGCTAGGGCTTAGAGCAACACATGTGTATGGGAAGTGGCCACGGCCACTAGCCACTATAAGCACATGTGCTGTCTACAGCAGCAGGCGTGACTTTTGGACAGTGTCTTAGGTTGTCAGCACACTTCCATGGGTAACTTTTTTCTCATAAATGTGCCCACCAGATCCTCCGGATGGGGTCAAAAGGGTGAAGTGGGAGTGGTGTTCTTGTGTTTGTGCCTACCTATAATTTCTCCTTGCTGGGACACCATTGCACCGAGATCTCGGAAAATTTCATTCACATCTAGCATGGCCGCCTGGGAAGGAAAGCAAAAAACACTCCTTTAGTTCAGTAATTATGGCAGTGTTGTTGCTCAGTACATTTCAAGAAGAGTAATTCCAGAAACTAGGGGTCCAAAAGTGTGACATTTTCGTGTCCCCGTTACATGTGACCTTTGTTATTTGACATGGAAATATCACCAGAATTGATTTCAAACTATTACTATTTGTTTGGCAGGTAATTTGCATTAATTCACCACTCTTTGAAATTAGAAAATGTGTTCTGAACTTACAAAATCATATGTCAGATGTGACAGGGACACGAAAAAATGGACCCCTAATTTCTGGAATTACCCAGTACCAAGTTCTCTGCCAATAAGAATTGTAGTGTTGTAGTTAAGACTACAATAAAGACCTTCACGAGACCACACAAGACCAGCACAAGACCTCCAGTCTGAATTCAAGTCACAAGCTATTGAACTGAACTGCAACAAAAGCATTCCTTTTTCATGGTTCACCCTGTGACATGTGACTGGTCTTGTGACTGGTCTTGTGCTTGGTCTTCTGACTGGTCTTGTGCACGGTCTTGTGCATGGTCTTGTGACTGGTCTTGTGATGGTCTCGACTACAACACTGATGAATTGGTTAGGAGGGAACAAAGCTGAAGAACATTGGCATTGGATGGTAAATGCATGAAGGCAAAATAACAAAAGGAAATGACAGAGATGTCAACTTTTCAAAAACTTCCCGTACCGGTTTCCTGACTGAACCTAATTTTTCGGCGCGACCCCTAAATTATTTATCGGCAAATTAGAAAAGAAATTTTAAAAAAAAGTTTTAAAAAATGCTGCTGTCATTTCTTTCAAAACAAACACCTGTCAACAACTTCTTTTCATGTCAAAATACTTGTACTTACCTGACTAGCATTGTGCAAATGTGAATTGTAATTTATTGTTGATTACATTTCCGCATTAATTCTGGTAAGTTTTAATTTTAATCGCTTTTGTGTCAATTTTTGGCAACTTTCTCCCATTCAATCAGCACAAAAAATTGTCCAAAAATCCTTACCTACCAACCCTATTTAATCGGAAGCAGAGCTATTTTGTCTTGGCCTAACTAATGTGCTTCTCGGTGTCGTCAAATCCAGCGTTGGCAATATTTATCATGTCACAGTTGCATGCATTGCAAAACATGTAAGCTTCTCCAAGACAAGACTTTGCAATAAAGGCCCATTGTTGTGGTGTATTCGTCCCTGAACTTCAGCTCATTTGCTGCCACTGTGCAAAACAAGTCCAGTTGCCCACCAAATATCTAAGAATCAAATCCTTGACAGTCCTCCACTCCGGTCAACTGTCAACTTTTCGCACGATCCTGATGTTCGACACACGTGTGTACGATATCGGTACACGTATGTGTGCAACGCTTGGACGTACACAATCACGTTGCATATGAAGTGCAACCATGCCTATTTGCCCCCGTTCATCATAGCGTTAATTGAGGCAAACGGATGATTTAACCACGCTGGTTTCTACCCCTACTCATGTAGCTTGTACGCACAAACTGCAGGATGGCAGCAAAACATTTCTGAAACGTGCATGACGAGGCCGGCTCCATGCTACTACATACGTAGAGTTTATACACAAATGTATGGTTTTGTACCTTTGAGTGGGAAATCGTAAAAATCTTAGTCTGGATCGTACAGTCGTAAATGGACTACGCAAATCATAAAAATTACGCCTAAATCGTACAAGTTGGCATCTCTGGAAATGATGACTTTAGACACTCCCCAAACTTTTTGTAAAAATGAAGGAAAGCACTTGAAAAGTACTCAACCGAGTTCATGTAAGTGTTCTTCAGCTTTGATCCTACAAACAGGACGAACATTTTGCCAACAAATAGGTACTAAAATGTATCTGACTAAAATACTGCCTCACAGTCGTTAGTCCATGTAAACCCTACAAAGTACCTCGATCTGTCGGATCTGTTCCTCCCTCTCCTGCAGCAGATTCATGTCGTATTCTATCTGTTGGTCTTGCTGCTGTAGCTGTGACTGGATCTCCTGCCTCCGAGCTTCTTCTATCAGCGCCTTGGATTCGTCGTGCGCCACCACTTCCTGTTGCATCGAGCAAGGAAAGTGACGATGCCGTATAAATTTCCATGAATTTGCCACATTTCGGACTGCCGAAAAGGCTTGTGATTAATGAGCAAAAATCAACTAAGAGTCAGGCTCCGACGACACACACGGCACGAGAGTTTGACTGCTACCCTGCTTTTGATCTGCCACAATTTTTCTGTACATGTAGCACATTTATCTGTGTTAAAAAGATAAATCAAATTGGGTCTTTGGCTTCAACTTATCCCTTGAAACCTAAAAATGGTCCAGAAACTTTGACTAATAATTGCTTGAATTTCATGACTTTGCCATGGCTTTTTCACTCAGACAACCGGATTCTAGGATATCCTATTTTGACTCCAATTTTCCATGACTTTTCCATGACATTCTAGGACAAATTTTTTCAAGAGTTTTCCATAACCATAGGAACCCTGAGTATTGGAAAACCCCCCCGAAGAATTATTCAGTAAACTTACGCCGCCCTCCATGACACGCAAGGCTGCTCTTTGAAGGCATTATTTAGATGACGACGTGGCAACAGTTACCACAGCGACCAATGCTTACCCTGCTTTCAGACGTTGGTGGCGCCATGGAGGGACCAGGAGACGACCTCATCTTGCTCGCTATTTTCTGTGGGTGGCAAATGCACAATTAAACGTGATTCTCATTCACATTCCAAAACAACATGTGGGGAAAATACAAATACTCTTAACTCTAAATGATCCCAGATTCCTCAAAATCTACCAAGATGTTTCGGAAAAGTAATCTTGTCTTTGTGTTGGGCTCTAATATACTGACTTTACTTTCCAGTACTTTGAAACAGTCTGTTTTTGTTTCATTCAATTGATCAGTTACAAGTTGCAAGAAACAGAAATCACTTTTTCTGACTTTTCCACCGTGTATCTTTAATGAAAATGTTTGTAAAATGTGGCAAGAGAAAGTTTCATGTTTGTCTAAAAAAGATCTAGGTACAGGTCAGGTAAACAAGCACAATTTTCCCCCAAATGTGCTTTGAAAGAGGGAACACACAACTATCTTCTGTCTTTCCTGTTGTACCTTTTGGACACCGCTGTATCTTTGAACTGAATCATGGTACTCATTTGTCAGCCGGTCAACTTGTAACTTTGATGACTGCAAGAGAAAGGAAACAAGTCACAACAACCACAAGTTTGTACGTGGACAAATATTTCTTGAAAGGTCTAAAAGTTGCAGAAAAATTTCATTTTAAATGATGTGCGTAGCCTTTGCATGTCAGAGAAACTGCTTCATTGCCTCTGATGCACTGCTCGAAAGGGTTTTGAAAATTACCCACATCCTGAAAGAGTGTTATTAAACTTTTCTTGATGAGAATACTTTCCGAATGTATTGGCAAAAATTGTGCAGTTTATAATTGCAAATGCATGTTCTGTTCAGAACACAGAGAAATTCTCATGCACTGATTGAGTGCACCAGTTTCGATAATTCACCGATAAGGAATACAAATAAAGATATAAATATTGATTTACTATTTCATGGGTTTGTACATACATAAACATGAATTTGATATTAGGATCTCTTTTGTACATGGCAAATTAGCACTGCAGAAATTCACATTAACTATATGTGACCGGATCCCTCAAAATGAGTCCTAAAGCCAATAATTCTGTTTTAGTTTGCATGAGAAAGAGCAAATTGAGTTCTTCATTTTGATGTATCACCTACTTTGGCATCCTGATGAAAATGGACAATGCATGGGGGTAAAATGTTCAGGGTTGGCATTGATTTACTCTGTACACGATTCTCTTAAACATCTTTCACTCAAAAGTTGCTCTGGCAACTTGTGACTCCTTCTGTTAGGTCGGGTCGCATTTGTCCCCCATCCAGGGGCCAATTTCATAGAGCTGCTTAAGCACAAAATTTGCTTAAGCGCGAGAAAACCTTACTCAATAAATCAGGTAACCAGCCAAACCTCCATGTGATGTATATTGCTTGGGGATTTTATTTTGGTTAGCATGACAATCAGATAGAGTTTGAGCTGGTAACCTTTGTTTATTAAGCAAAGTTTTCGCCCGCTTAAGCAAATTTTGTGCTTAAGCAGCTCTGTGACATTGGCCCCTGGTTTGGACATGAACAATGAAGCCAGTTTGGTATTTCGAAAAACCAAGGTCTTTCGGGAACACAGTGCATGTGTGAATCAGCATATGGCTTACGGCTACGCTGATAGGACAGACTATCCTACGCATGTGTAGCTGTTCCCGAATAGCCTGAGACTGGGCATGTGCTGTTGGAATACTGAACTAGCCCATTCTAGATGAGAAAGAAGTCACAAGGCTACTTTCTTTTGGGGGAGAGGGGCAAGAAGTGCATCTCGGTACATACTCTTCCAAGGGTGCGCCCCATTAGAGTCAGATCTTTCAGACACATGGTTGTCTCGCTGACAATTTTGTTGGTTGACTGCATATTGGCTTGGCTGTGGGCATGTAAGGGTGAAGTAAATTAAGCATCAATGGTTAAACTTCAATATCTAGTGGTGGTTTTTACTAAACTCTCTTGGCCATGGACTTTCAAAAGAAGTTCACAATTTACACTTTTTTTTTTTTAGGTAAATGACGTATGAGTATTACATGTAATGCTCTCAGACCCATTAAAATTGAACAGGATGTCAATTTAACAGGATTGAGGACTGTGTGCCAGTAACTTTAACCTAATGTTTGAGACTTAATAATGACAGATTAAGTGAAAATGAATCTGTTACTGGATTCCTGTGCAGTGGAAGATTTTGGAGGATGAACTGGGTTATTTTGGATTCTGCCTCCATCACGAAAAAAAGCAAGTCTGGTCCGAGCCCATTTGACTCATCAGGCCATGTTTATCTCCGGTTTCCTTGGAACGAAATGACTGAGAATATTTCTATTCGCCCCCCTGGATGGGATGCCAGTCCATCACAGGTTGCTTCCCTAGCTAGTGCTGGTACCCATTTGTACCAATGCTTGTACCCATTTATACTCCTGGGTGGAGAGAGGCAAGCAGGGGTGAAGTGGCTTGCCAAGGGCCACAACATACTGCCAGCAACTGGATTTGAACTTCCAACCCTATGATTGGAAGCCACTGACCCTAACCACTTGCCCCTGTCCCTTTAAGAAGTTAGCTGTCACATACCTGATCATTTTGAAACTTAGCATGCATGTAAACATACTCATAATCATAACAAATGTGAGGTGTTAATTCCATATAGGTAATTCCAGAAATTAGGGGTCCAATTTTTTTCGTGTCCCTGTCACACTTGACATATGATTTTGTAAGTTCAGAGCACATTTTCTAATTTCCAAGAGTGATGAATTGATGCAAATTACCTGCCAAACAAATAGTAATAGTTTGAAATCAATTCCGGTGATATTTCCATGAAAAATAACGAAGGTCAGATGTAACAGGGACACGAAAATGTCACACTTTTGGACCCCTAATTTCTGGAATTACCCAAATGGCAAAGGGTTTTCATCCTATGGAAAAATTGAAGTTCATAATCCCATTACGTTGGCCTGTATGCAATAAGACAATGGCAAAAGTATGGATTTTTGGCTGACCTGTCTTAGAAAAATATGTGCTCAAGAGGAGCATGTCTGATTTTCACAGAATTGGTGTCACTGATATACCTCCTTAAGGCTTAGTGCATGAAAATGTGCACTGCCATGAAATTGGAGAAAATGTTGAGGGGGGGTAGGGCGGAATCCTCCTCAGATGATGCTCAACCACCAAGATGCCATCAAGTACTTACATTCTGTTGCGGAGCATAGCGCTGTCGCTAGGTGTGCCCATCTGTCGTGCAGCCTTCTCCAAAGTTGTGACTACAAGAAGGTGTGCAGAAGCACAAAAAGACCATAACAAAACGCCAGGTCAAGTTAAAAACATTTTTATGCGAAACTACTGTTAAATGGTTAATGTTAGCAGAGAAGTCACCCTTGTAAAGACAGAATTGGAATTGCATCAGCTACAAATTACCAAAAGTTGCAAGAAGTCAGTCAGTCGCAGGTCATTTAGTCTTTAGTCAACTCACAATTTCTTTAAATGAACTAGGATGAAGGCATTCTTTTGTCATTGTTCATCACTTTAGTTCTGACTTGAACTGACTACAAACAGACGAGTAAACTGACTTGTGATTGCCAGTGACTGACTCGATTCCAACTCTGTTCAGAGGCCATCTATATTATTCGAGTATTCATCTGGGCAATTTTGATTTTCAGAACACAAGTAATTTAAAATAGAGTTTGCACGCCTTTTCTGCACACTCAAATGCAAATCACGGCAAGGCAGCCATGCTTTTGCCAACCGTAAACTTGAAAAAAAAGCCTCTCCATGGCAACCTCTTGGTAGTGCACTGAATTGTGAATCTCCCGTATTACATGCGCACAAAGATGTAGCTGACTCGGGTCTTTGTGCGAAAGAACACAGGTGGGTGCACTGCCACATGGGCCTAGAGCTCCATACCAACAACTTGGCAGTCCACTGTATTGTGAATTGATCAGTAGCTGGGGCAAAAATATCACCCGGTCAAATTCTTCTCAGGGTGTGGAAACATTTCTGATATGTAACATTTACAAATGTTGCAAGGTAAATTCCCAAGCTTTGACATATATATTCAGAAATCTGTTACAGTGAATTTTTGTGAAACTAAAGATTAGTGTAGTGGCACAATAGTTACATTGGCAATGATACAGACATTTGAACTTTGTTAGATTTTGAGTGGGGCAGGATAGACGAGGGCAGAATGCTACTCAAAGACAGGTCTTACCATTATTGGCAATCTTGAAAATAGCTGAACTGATTTGCTGGGCCAAGTCTGCAAATTCATCACTTTGACCTGTGGAAAAACAATCCACTCGACTCCCTTAATGTGTAAACTGAGCAGGGTTGTCACTGGGCTAAATTTAGTGCCGAGTAATATTTTGGTGAAGTGCAGCCAAAAGGAACTCTTGTGACCAAATCTTGTGGGTCACGGCCAGGGGTCAAGGGGTCCATTCAAGGGCCCGGGTGGGCTCCAGTGGCAATGCCCTGATGGGGGTCGAGGGGGCAGAGTCCCACTAAAGCTCCAGGATTCTGCAGTTTTTCAGGGAGGAAAATCAGGTTTTTGAGGCATGCTATAAAGTGTAATTTGTGTTTCGAAAAAGTGGAATTATCAATGAATAAAGATGAACACAGGATGAAACAACAATTGTCTCACAGTATTTTGGTGAAAGTAACTGGCAGAACAAATAACAATCTTATACAAACATTTTACACAAGGTAAAATTTTGTTTTGCAAAGAAAACTTTTTTGTGCCATAATTCTAGATTATGTTGTCTGTCGAAACAATGTGCTGTCAAAAACAAAACGTGTTTAATGACTTTTGACAGGGCAAAGGCAGATCTATTCTTTGAAAACATTTTGACAATTAGCACGAAAATATGAGCACGTGCACGAATAGTATGGCTATCATCGTTTGCCTCGTACACAGACTTCAAAGTGAACTGTGTACCACGCATACAAGTTCTGAGACAGAGAAAGTCAGTTGATACTACGAGTAAAATCTGCCGTACCTACTCCTACTGGAATGTGGCTGTACAAATATTGACATTTATTTGTGCAGTGGGGTTGTCACTGCTTAAAGTATCGGCGCACTTGGAGTTGAGCTTTTGCGTATATGCACGTCCGTACGTGTATATACCACATGCATCATGCGTGTGTACGTAAGTGTACAGTACAGGGAATACTGTATGCCAAGCTGATCTCATGTGTTGGGATATGGGGTCATATGGCCACCATCGCTCATTTCAAGGCCTGGATTGGTGCACAATTTTAAGCTTACCTTGGTGTTCTTGCGGTTTAAACAAAGGAATAACACATAAAAATATCTCATAATTGATAAGGATAGGAACATCATGATAAATTTTAAGATTTTTTTTTTGAAATTTTACCAACTTAGGAATGAAATACATGTATGTGCCTGGCGGTCAGGCTCAAAATTACTCCAAATGCTGGGCGGACATTATGTGAGCTAGGTGGCCCCGCCAGCCACCCAGTGTAGCTACAACCCTGAAAGTGAGATGTACAACTCCAGCCCAACAGTTTCAGCTACAGATGTACTGGTATATTGAAAAATATGAAGTTTCATTTTTGTGAAAGACGACAAGCCCCTGCACACAAGTCAAAATGGTTAGCTAAAAACCAACGGACTACGTGTATCTCTCAGAATCCAAAGTAACAAAAACAAAGAATTCATTGTTCATCCAATACCTCTTCCAAACTGTCTATCTTGATACTGGCCATCAGGTGCATTTTCAAGTGACCCGTAGCCAAAGTCACCCCTTCCCCGCTGAGCTGCCATGGTTATGTCCCCCCCGGTGATTCACCACAGTACAGAGCTGGCTACGATTAAATATCCTTTGCCATCAGACTTCAAGACACTTCTGTGCAGAAACGTATATGAATAATGAAGTACAATATGATGGAAAATCATTCACAAAGTACAAATGGTGGGCATGATCGGTCAACCTGCATGAGTGCTTGCTCTTTGCATGACCTGTTGATTGTATTGTGCAATATATATGCCAATAATTGCCTTTTCTACTTCATAATTGTGTTTCAAAAAGGGAAGTGAAGTTGGAGATTTCACACAAGATTGACCCATTGTGCAGAGCTATCAACAAATGCTTTTAAAGATCTGCTTATTCCGCATGTCCAGCCCAAAAATTACAGAGTACCGGAATGGCATCAAGCCCAACGTATGCACTGGGTGTGCTATTGGTTGATCCTGTAGGAATATTATGAAATCTGACGATCCCATTGCCTATGATTATGAACCATTTTGGTATTTCAGTAGCCTAGGGTAGCGCATACTCAAAATGAAGCAACTTGTGGTTCACTGAAAAACATCAATACCCAAGCTGAGCATATGGTTGCGCTTAGCCCCACACGTAGGGCTGTAGTGGCTCTCTTTTACAATCTGTCTCTTTTCTGTTGCCACCGCAGCCCTACTTCAAGGCATGTCTTAAATGCCTGAAATCCAAACTGCAGGATTGTCACAAACTTTGAATCCTAATATCTTCCGAAATGAGAATGACTCGACAATAATACTGACACCGGCGTATTCCTCAGAGTTTGGACTTTTATGTGAGCACCCTAAAGCTTTCCAAAACCGTATATTTTCCATACCAGTTTTGTATGGTACAACCTATACCATAGCGCCTGTCGGGTGCCTTGAAATCTGACGCAAGAAGCGCTGCTTTCGTTTTTTAAAATGGCGCCGCCCATGGTCAGCATATAAATATCACACTTTTCACAGGCCCAGTTTTCAAGGCGCCATACATCGGAAAATATACGGTTTTGGAAAGCTTTAGAGTGCTCACATAAAAGTCCAAACTCCGACGAATACGCCAGTGTCATTCTCATTTTGGAAGATATTAGGATTCAAAGTTTGTGACAATCCTGCAGTTTGGATTTCAGGCATTTAAGACATGCCTTGAAGTAGGGCTGCGGTGGCAACAGAAAAGAGACAGATTGTAAAAGAGAGCCACTGCAGCCCTACGTGTGGGGCCAGGTTTTGCTCTACTAGTACTATACTATGCTCAAAAACGAGATTGCACACTTCAGTTGCAACCTTCAAGTTGGAAGCTTCAAAAGCTAACCTATGTAGGCCTATGTTATTTTTAACCATCTATGTGACATGATGATCACCTGACAATGACGAGCCCGACTATACTTTAGTAATAGTACAGACCCCCTGCAAAAGACGTCAAGTTAGAGGGCGTTTCTTTCTTCCTCTAAAATAGGCTCCAGCAAACATTAAATTTGTGCATTCATTGTCATAAATCTAAATAACAAAACATGTTCTCTGGGAGGGCGCTCCACGCAGGCCCTCTGTTTAGGTCTACCGGCGGTGGCTGACCCAACATCATGCATTAGTCTAGAACATACATTACTAGTCGCGAAGATGTCTACGACATAAAAGCCAGGGTCATTCACCAACCTCAAAACCTTCGCTAGTGTAATTTTTCTCTCTCTTCCACTGCAGCTACTAAATCGGTTTTTCGTTTGTTCAACCTCTCTAAAACTAGGAGAGCAGATGTTTTCAAAACTTTTGTAAAGAATAGATCTCAAACACGGAAGGCAGACAAAACACTGTGACGCGTGAAGTCAGTTATCTGACTCACATTATAGTACCAATGCGTGAACAGGGAACTAGACCTTTACAACATGTCATGTGACCAAATACAGATTGACCTCTGAAGGTGAAAGGTTGCACAGAAAGTTCGTAGCTAAGGACTTTTTACTTACGCCAATGAGAAAACCAATCCGCCTCTCCTATAAAGTAATTGTCTCAGAATTGTTCTGCGTAGTTTTGGAAAGATGTTTAATGACAAAAAGGAGTCAGAGAGCATATTTAGAACCTTTTGTTTGGAAAATTAGGATGAAAAGAACACAATCTTTTAATGTAGTAAATATCTATTTTCTACTGAAGATTTCGAACACATGGGGATTTAGGGTTGTGAAGTTGCCCACCGACGTGTGGCGCCGTATAGCAAGCTGTATGTGATCAAAACAGAAATCCGCGAGTACAGTGCACAATACAGTGGGCATTTGAGGGTCGATTTGAGTGCAATTGATCTTCTAACGACGTTTAAGTCCAAAATTGAACCAAAAGCAGCATGAGTGCTAACTTGAGTTTGCCAGACTTTGTAGAGCGCAAAGGCTCTTTGTTTTTACGCTCCGATCACATGGATTACAGCCGTCCAACCCTGAACTCAAATTGGTAAGATTCAGCCGTAGGCATGGAAGGGGCCTTGGAGACCCTGCCGGTACTGCCAGCATTGACCAGGGCCCCTTTAACGCGTTCAATTTAATTTTGCTCAAAAGCATTTTAGTGAGATTTTCTGTTGAAAAAATTACCAGAACATGGTGCACCTATCTTCAGTTCGAACTTCACTTTAGGCTTGAAGTGAATTAGCCTAGGCCTAGGTGCAAGGACCCTCAGAACTGTGGGGTCCCGCGACGGACGTCGAAACCCACAGTTCTGGGGGTAAGACCTAGGACCATGGTTAGGCTATGTTGATGTTATGCCTTAGGCCTATTATTGTTATCAATCATTTCTGGTAATGACACCAGGGATTCCTCAAAAGTGCCCTTGGCACTAAGCTCGCAAGCCTGAAGAAACCTGTAGAGAGGAGACAATGAGAAGCAGTTACAGTTTTTCAGAGGTGGGAGGAAAACCCCGGAGGAATATTCTGGGTAGGAAGGTAGGGACTGAAAATCCGATCCACCTGTGGAACGGGCCAGGATTCGAACCCAGACCGCAAAGGTGGAAGACGAGGAAAGAACCACTATGCCAACCTGACTCCCCAAACTACATGTACATGTATGCCTATGTAACAAAAGTTACATGAATCTGTTCAGGCCAAACTTGACAAAATTTAAAAGTAAAAGTGAGGAAATCAGTCAGTATGGTCAAGCAACTGTGCAGAGTTTGCGTGATAATGCGGAGCGATCCATTGCACCCTACATTCGTGTATGTGGGCCTACCAGTACATGTACTCTCAAAGATTGAACAGAATTTGTAAACAAAAATTTCAGATTTTCCAAATTTTCGTGTCAGAAAAAAAATTCCCTGACCAAAGATATGGCCAGTATACGGTGTTTGTAGTGATTAGACATTGATTTGTACATGTATAATTTGCAGAGTCATTGCTAAACAGGTCTGTATGTAATGCGTACATGCACAACAACTTGACTTCCCACTGAAAATGAACACGGCCAATTTTCCCTTCACAACAGGCACCAGGCCAGGGAAGCAGAACCCAAAGACTACGATATCAACAATGAATCAGAGAAGAAAGACCTCCATCGAACCACCTACAGGAGAATTGGAAACATTACAGATGGAGTAAGAGTACTGAGGATGATTTTCCCCGTAAACTTTCTAGCTCTCCAAACACCGGTGGTCATTCCTTTTCTCCCAACTTACATGCTATTTTCCCTTTCCAGTTTAATATCAATTTATTGCTCATGCTTCCAGCTGAAAGTCGAAATCATTTTTAAGCGCTGTGATTTGGTCCTCGCAAAGTCCCCAAACAAAATGTGCAGCACAGAACAAGAAAAGGTTGTTTTTACTGAGTTTACACTTATGAATTGTTTCTCACCCTCCTCTCCCCGCAAGGGCTGCCTTGCCAAAGATGTGGATCTCGCCTGTACTAGATGCATAAGAATATAGCACAGCTTGACCCTAAAAATATACACATGTGTAAGGAATACGCATCTTTATGTAAAAAAAAGTACACATACAGTGTATACATGTAAAAAATTGCAACACGATTGTCTCTCGGACTAAACAGTTGAGCCAAAGTTCTTCTGCAAGTACAGCTACCTGGACATCAATTTGGCAGTACTGCTGCACTCCAAAAATCCCCTATTCTTCTGTGCCCCCCCCGCCTCTGTTCTCTTACTTCAGTCTGCTTGATTGACTTGGGAAAAGAGTTGACAACCCTGATCATGTAACAGCTCTCCCCAAAAGGCATTTCAAAACAAGATTGTGATTGTTAATTTGGAACTTCTCCGTAGCAAGAGTTGATTTCCAACCTTCTCAGCTAAGCACATTAACATAATAATAATAACAAAAAGGAACATTTACATTGTGCAGATGCTATACAAAAATAGTCAACTGCACATAACAATACCCATCACTAGCAGAGATGAAAATCAGGTGTTGGAAAAAGCTTCATGAAAGAGATGAGTTTTTAGAACAATCTTGAATGTGTGGACAGATTTAGCATGTCTTACATGAAAGGGCAGGTAGTTCCAAAACCTAAGAGCAGCACAAATACATGCACGGTCTCCAAAAGTTGCCTTAGCTCTACTATAGGGATGACAATGACTACACAATGTATGCAAATGGGTCCAGCCATTGATTGGTGACATCTTTGATACCTAATGCACATACAGGGCCGAAAATTCACTGAAATAGGTATAAAGTTTACAGTTCTACTCACAGGTAAATGATCCCAGCTACATAATTGAGCACCCTATCATACCCGTATGTACTGCATACCATATTTCAGCTTAATGTTTCTAAGCATTACATGTATCTTGGAGTCACACACCTAGAAAAGTCAGGGTGTGCTATTGTTGCACACCTTCCATAATGGCAAAAATACTTTTGAAAGTTAAACGAGGAATATCAAGAAAACGACAAAGGACAAAAGCTCTTGTTTCTGGACAGGTCAGCCGGTCAAAGAAGAATCACTCAAGTCTTTCACTTGAGCACACTAATTCATATGAAGCACTAAATTTGAGACCAACTGGACAAAAGAGTTCCAAATAATCATTTCGATATTCCCAGGATAGGAATTACAAAAGAAGAAATTTATTTGTTTCGGTACTGTTCAACTTGGCAACTTATATGCGTGGCCTAGAACAAGTGTAATACAAAGTGACTAACCAGACATTACAAACACCGGACTGCCTTAATGAAAGCTGGCACACCAAATAATATCCTGAAAGATTTACGCACTCTTTGCAACTTTAAACCCAAGTGCCAATTGCAAATATCAACATTTAAATGAAACACAGACGGGACAAGGAAGGGAAAAAATGCAATGAGAACTCCAAAAAATGCGTTTAATAATGCCTGATAAAATACAGCCACGGTGGACTGGATTTCATGTCCTTTTTGTTTTGTATCCCAAGAATATTTGACAGGTGAAAAACAAGCCCCGACCAATGCCTGTTTAATAGGCATTCCATTATTAAACACAAGATTGATCCTGATTTCTGAAGTTTCAAGGTTCGCCAAGCACGTTTTAATAAGGACCGGCATCGGTACATAAATTCTCTTTTTTGGGGGGGGTAGATGTCTTCCCTTCGATCCTCGGCAATGATGGGCTGGTTTAGAGGCACGTAATACACTGGCACGGGATCATGACGAGAAAGGCAAACTGGGTATCAATTTGCGTTCAATTAGTGGCCGATTGATTCCAGGTAGAGCAATTACCCAGACCCGTAAGCTGTCGTATCACCGTTGGCTCGTGGCGAAGCAGAGTTAGCTTAGGCTGTGGCGGGGATGGGCTCATCAGCTCTTCAGGACTTTGGAAGTACACGTACGCAACTGACCTTTGAAGGAATGAGTCAAGTGAACCTTCAAAAGCAACAAAAGTTTATATTTCGCCAGTTCACTGAAAAGCTTCCCTTTGTCATACTGTTATGTCTTAAACTACATGCACGGTATATTTGCCCCTACAAGTTCTATCAAAGATTTACATGTATGTATGTGGTATCCAGACAAAATCTTCTATATGCTGAGCTGTAACACTTGTGATAACATGGAAGCCTACTGGTACTTTGTACCCAGACTCAATACATATCTGATGTAGTTTGCCACCAGTTTCTCCTGATTGCATTTGTGTGAGATGGCGGCAAGAGCAATGAGGTTTAATACAGGCACATCTCTGTTTGTGTTATGTTTGACGGGCACTTACATGTAAGCTTGTTCACGGACCTTTTTGTTCAAGGAAGTCTTCAATCTCTGCTACATCAACAATTGCGGTTCTTGAAAGACTGTGGTAATGTCTGAGCCCTGCTTTTTTTTCAAAAAAGTAAAAAATAAATACTAGATTTCTTTTAAAATGTTATATTTGGAAATTTTGACCTTTAGGTGATCACTGTCAGGCTTGCCCAGTCTGATTTATGTTACCAAAACATTTCAGTCTATTAGAAGTCGCACCCAACTTGAAATGCACACGAAAAGCAACCTGTGTGATATCTTCCCGACTGCAGAGTGTAAGTGCAGAATTCAATAAAAATTATCAATTATTTTGACTCCATCTAAACAGAGAGAGAGAGATGTCCAGAGATCTAAAATCCTTGTCTTCATATAAAGATTAAACATCGAGGAAATGGTTGCTTTGGGGGAAATTAAAGACCCATTCAAACTACCAGCATTATTAAGGTACTCATCAGAGTAGACTGCTTGATTTAGTGTCTTCTCCGTGTTCGTGGACATTTCAATTGATTAGCCAAATTTTCTCCAGCTCCAAATCTTTTGAGCTGTCCCCCAACATTACCTGCACTCTCTCATATCAGTTGACGCATGCCATGAGCCCCCTGTCCAATAATCTTGGACTAACAATTTTGATTTCTCCGTCCCGATCAGCCTGGTGCGCCGCAAACCGGCCAAAATCTTCCCTCTCTCTCTCTCTCTAGTCACCAAAAGATTGAACCGAAACAATAACGTTGGGGATCTGCAGTGTGTATCTGCCAAAGGCGGCCTGAAACCCGAATCGTGACCGGCGCTGTCCAATTTGGGGCTTGTCGGCGGTCGTTAGGCAGGCACCCTTACCGAAGTTTATCGGCAGGGGATTGCTCGTCGCAAATTGTCTGAGTGGAGTTTTGAGAAAAAAATGAAGAGAAAAGAAAAGAGAAAGATGAAGAACTTGGGGGAAACAGCGCGTTTGGAGAATTAGGTCAAAAGGGTTTCTGTCAAGATACCTCATTCTAAAAACACGTTATTTCTCATTAATCAGGCGCTGACATTTTGTTCCTTTTGCCATATCCTGGGGCCACATCTTGGATCAGAAAAAGAGGACAGATTGTGGATAACTGGGAGGGACGTTTCGTGTCAGAGTGGCAAATTTGGGGACTGTTAACTGGCCGAGTCCAAGCGAAGCATGTAAACACATCCTGCCAGGTTTAATGTAACCAGATATACACGGCGGTGTTAAACAAAGGGGAAAATTAAACCAGAGATTGTCAAATGTCAAAAGTTTGAAAAGAGAAATCTGCTGTGGCGACAAATATGAAAGGTTTTTTTTATTTAAAGCTTACTTCTACAAGTGCCGACAAAATGAAAATAAAAATGAAATTTTGAATTTACAAAATTAAATTTTGTAATTTTCACAAATGAAAGGATATTGTCAATTTGAAAACCTTACCTCCTGATCATATGTACACTATTTTGGGCTGATATCAGTTACATACAATCATTCACATTTCTGGTTGTATTACTAAAAAGTAGCAACTGGTGAGGAATTATACCACTTGTGGTTCCCCTACCTTGTTTAAACACAGACATGCAGTGTACCTGCAGGGCATGTAGCGCAGAGGCAAACAAAAGTTTATATATAACTCAGAAGTTGTGTCAAAAAGACTAAACATGGGATAAAAGGTAATAAAGGAAAGTTGCTGTCACACTATGAGGTCATTTTAATATACATATCATGTTTTAATTTAGGATGGGCAACCTGCGTGCATGATAACTTGTCTTGTGAGGACTTATTGGGACTTGTGAGGACCTGTGGTGGACATAAGAGTACATGTATGATGGGTTCATCATGATTTGTGATGGACTTGAGAACAGTTGTGCTTGACTCAGTGCTCTTCTTTTTAGACTCAAATTCAGCCGGGATCATGACAGAGAAATTCAACACCAGAGTTTACCTCAACTGTGATATATGAACCAGTACATAATCACCAGGAAGTGATAGGAGAGAGAAAACTCACTTCTACAGTTACACCTGTAGGTGTTTGTTACACCTGCAGGTGTAACAGTTACACCTGCATGCACTCATTGAGAAATGCACCTTTTTTTTATTTTGCCCCCTTGCAGTCATTCCCCTTGACCACCACCCAGTACTCCATGCAGCAGATCCACCTCAAGAATGACTTTGAGGAGAAAGAGACGAGAAAGCCCATGGTGAATATTGACACCTACCAAGCCGCCGACATAGACAGGTGAGTGCTGGAAAGTCGCTGACAACTCAGGGACTTAGTGCCCCATGTACTGAGATGGGAAGTGGCGAGGATTTGGGGAGAACCAAGAACTTGACTGTCGGGAATGTTTTCAAAATTTTGGGAATGTGTCTAAAAAGTGTTGAGACAATAACCATGGGGATTTTGCAGTAGGATCTCTGTTCGGTTGAAATGAGCATTTCTCACATGCAGAATTCATGATTTGGTTTTTTTTAACTGTGGGTCATCAATTATACGAAGGTGATACTTTTGACCCATTTTCCCCGATGTAAGCTCTGCTCATGTCCTCTCAAGTTATTTGAAAATCTTTTGACGGAATGTTTTCATCCTTTTGTTGGAGCCACACTATCCTCTTTTGCCAGAGGAGGCAGGTAGACTTATCCCAGTCCCTCCGCTGTCATTATGGAGGCAGAAATCAGTTGATTGGCCCACCTTTCCTGTTTTTGACTGACTGAGAAAGAAGGAATGTGTATAGAACACTTTCAGTTGAAATGTTCAAATTGTCCGGTTGTAAATGCACAGGGATACAGGACACCCAAAGACAGGTTATCAAGCTGTTCTTCCCCGCCACCACCCTGAGCATGACAAGAGGCATCTTGAGACAACCCACAGGGCAGACTACAGACCACCGTTCCCGTACACACCTGTGCCGGTAAGTACGGTGGCCCTGAACGGACACTGCAGAGCTTGACATGGCAAAGGCAGCTCAGAAAAGCTACCAACACAACATTATTAGAAATATAATATGACATAAATATCCTGAACCAAATCATCAACTCCCCCCTCCAAAAAAGTAAATGCACTCCCTATGAATCCTTTCTACCTGGCCATTCCTTGAAATTTTGTGAACAAATTTGGCATTTTAAAGTGGATGCAATAGAACTTTGCAACTCAAGTACATTTCGTTGGTTTTACCACAAGTGACGTATGGTGAATAGTTGCCGCACCACGAACTGATGTATTCTGTGTACAAAGTCTATGGATGGTACGTCACTTCGTGGTGCACCAAAACTGTCCTATACATCACTTCCTGGTGCACCCAAACTATCCTATACATCACTTCGTGGTGCACCAAAACTATCCTATACATCACGTCCTGGTGCACCCAAACTATCCTACACATCACTTCCTGGTGCACCCAAACTATCCTATACATCACTTGGTGGTGCACCCAAACTATCCTATACATCACTTGGTGGTGCACCCAAACTATCCTATACATCACTTGGTGGTGCACCAAAACTATCCTATACATCACTTTGTGGTGCACCCAAACTATCCTATACGTCACTTCATGGTGCACCAAAACTATCCGATACATCACTTCGTGGTGCACTGAAACTATCCTATATATCACTTCATGGTGCACCAAAACTATCCTATAGGCCTACATCACTTTGTGGTGAACCCAACGATTTATTCATACCTAAATTTCCACACAGGAGCAACCACCTGATTTTCCCGATAACTCCAATGTGTTCCGGCACTGCCACAGTCAGTTTACTGACACAGCGGACTACCGGCGGTTCGGCCGCAACACCTGGCAGGATGAGAGTGGGCAGTATGCCAACTCCCAGCTGAGGCGAGACTACTTCCAGCCCACCAACACCATACCACAAATACTTGAGTAGAGTAGAGAGCCGTTAGCCGTCATAGTGTGGGTGGGGGTGGGCAGAGTTGGGGTTGTAAAAAGTTAGGCGGGAGGGTCACGCTGCTCACACAGAAATGTCAAAAGACAGAGATGAAAGACCTTTTTGTTCACATATCAGAAATCAACAGGGGTGAAAATCTGCAGGTTCTCAACTTGCAGCAAATCATGAATCCAGAATAACGGGGATATTGTGGGTCATGTGACCCAGTAACCTGTTAAAAAAATTGCTGCTGGGTAGTATTTTATGAGTGGGGTTCAGATGTGGCCACACACGTACACACAACCCTTACCTTTCACTGAATCAAGGCAAAACATATAAACTTAAATTATTTTTCTTACCATGTCTTGGTCCCTGAAAGTTGGACAAATGCCTTCTCAAGCTCTCAAGTTTCTTCCCTGCCAGAGAAAATGAATATCATGCATTTTACACATACTTCTGCATTCAATACATACAGTGACATAACTTAATGATATTTTAGCACATCCACTGAGGAAATTGGTTTATTTGAAACAGGTAATCACGATAGCAGTGATTTCGTCCGTTATTTTAAAATTCAAATGTCTGGGGTCTCTTTTCTTGTAAACTTCCCAGGTGCTATTTTTCTACCTTCATATTTATTACGTTTGATGGCTAAATTTTTAACTCATGAAGTTCTTGTCGACATCAACGATTTGATAAAGTGAAAGTGGAGGAAGCAGTATCATTTTCGATGGAGATATTTTGATTTGTTTTTACTACGGATTTTGTGGGATCAGGGGGCAAAAGGGCTCAATTTCCTCTCAATCTGAATTATTTTAAACGTAATGCTTCATCAGTGTGGAACGATTTTTTTCAAATTTTCGTGTTTTTAAAGAACCACCGAAGTGTACATACTGTTGTGTAATAAATTACAATTATGTGTTGTAAATAACATTGCAGGGTTTTGAGAGCATTTATTTAAGTGTTCATGGAACATGTAGAAGCAAGAGATTTCAACGAAACGTTTGCTTACACAGCCAATGTAAATGTGAACATCGCGTAGAACGACACCAATGCCTTTCTGAGCGCGGTACGCATACATGTATTTTTGAAAGGGAATGTGTTTATATCCAACCGTTTATATCCAAAGTTCTTGCCCACTTCGCCTCTTCAGCTCGCCACGCCTCCAGAAGAGAAGGTCAACGCGGTCATACACAAACGAGATCTGCTCATAAAGTGTATTAACCAAAACTGCGCATACACGGCGGAGAAACGGTCTCCACTAGCCACCGGATACAACGAACAACGTGACATTTCCGCCGTACAGGGCCAACCGGCCGAACAGAGCACCCTGGTGGTTCTACTGCCGCCGCAGGCTCGCATTTATTGCCCCATTAGTATCCCTAATCCTGCTCGCTTCTCTCCGGATTAATCAAAATGCTTGCCGATCTGGTCCCCCGTTTCTGAAGGGGACCCGAGCTTCTCTGGTTAAACAAAGTGCCTCCGGTAGTTATTCGTACACATGTGACTTCTTTACGCTGGAAGAGACGGAGCGGAGACTTTGAGAGCGTGTGCTGCAGACGGAGCTTTGGGCCGCTACCGGCTGCGTATTAAGACGCAGGCTTGGGACGGGGATTCCAAACATTTTTCGCCTGGTTATTGGGGTAGCTTTACCCGCTGTGGAGACCTCCAGTCCCGTTGAGGTATGGAATTGCGCGGTAGCAAGCCAGTCACCCTCCGGGGTACATCGGCCGATCGTATCTCTCGCGGTAATACTAGCAAAATGTATACACCATGCATCAACAACACTTAATATCCAAGATTATGACACGAAGGGTTTTTGTTGGCGCAAGTGAAATTTCCGAATTACCTACGCCAAACCTGCTAGTGTTCATTGATCCATCCAGCCTGAAGGCCTCGGTCAGCTTACAGCACTCTTTGTAAGGGGAAAAAGACTTTTAATCTGTAAAATGTGGACTGGTTGTGAATCAAATTGGAAGAGTTAATGTATCCCCCTTCTCAGAGAAACCTTGTCAGCGAAGAGTTAGCTAGTTTCTCAGACTGCATTCCCGAACTGTCAGGAGAAAAATAGTTTAACTTACACCACACACCACTTTAGTAGGTCGCTGATGGGTCTTACAAATTATCTTTCCTTTTTGAATAAAAACAAAATATTGCTTGGCCCGGCAGCAGAAAAATAGATGTAACCCTAAAAAGTGGGAAGGGAAAGGGTACCGGGTGTCGGGTGTGTATGTGGGGGGCGGGGGTCGACCCAGCACCCTAGCTGAAACTGCCCCACTACACCCCACTCAGCCCGAGGACTGTCAAGTTCATCTACCCCTGTCTCTCAACCGCCGTTAAATCAGCCTTAGCCCGTTGCGGCAACAATTTCAACGTTCGTTCTCTACATCAAGGGCCGCACGGCAGTTGCACCTTTTGTTTGGGCGCGACTGTTGTAATAAGGCCCATACCGTCGAGATGCCAACTGTAATGCTGCCGAAGCGTACAAAATACAGAAATAGAGTTGCCCGACATGCGGTGTCATGCATCGATTTCATTGGAACAGTCGTTGCCGGGGACAGTGTTTTAAGAAAGATTTTTTTGTCGGCATCTTCTGCATGGGCGACCCCCTATATAGAGAGTGCATGACCTCCCTCGCTGCATCTCGTCTCGCCCACTCCTACCCATACGGCTCCAAACTTGAAATTGTTTGTAGGCTCCATTTTGAACCACCGCACATGCGTGTGAGCTCTCTCTCTCTTCATGTTACTTTCTTGAGGCTTCAGTAAAAAAGAGAATGAGAAGAACGTCCCATCCAATGCGGGCGGCGCGAGCTCCCAAGCGACTTGGGTGGGCGATTCCCGGGACAAATTAGTGGCTCTCCCCCGAGAGCACCGCTTCACGGCGAACACGATCTGTATTCGGGCCCATGTGTGGCTCATTTGAGAATCACAGCAGAAGAGACAAAGTAAAAAACTACGAAGAACAGCCTCCCTTTTGCACAGGAGCCAGAACATTATTTTAAGTGGCTGAAGTCTAATACACTAATCGGTTCGAACAATGGCCAGGCAACTTGCGGCGGCGATGAGGCTAGGGTCATATGGGGCCCATGATAGCAATTACCTGACTGCATAATAACCGCGCTCTCCCTGTTGAACTCCACCGCTCTCAAGCCCGCTGCGCGATGGAAACACAACATTGGCCGAACATACATAATTGAGACCGGTTACATGTGTCATTTTGATAGGAAAACAACTTTTACATTGTTTTGGTTAACCAGCTCGGTTTTGTAAAGTGTCCACGTACGGTTTGCGCGTGAGGTGCACACACGGAGAGAAGGTTCAATGCACTTCGGAAAGTGCATCTGCATAGAAAGGAGGTAGGGGCAGACGACGAAGCGATGTTGTACTTGACGCTGTGAGCGGGGTTTAGAACCCAGGGCGTGGACATCTCTTAAGTGTAAGGGTCGCTTATCGCAGATGTCCGCCGCTAAACGCAGAATAACTCAAACCATCTTAGTAATTACTGCGGAAATGGGCGCAGTATCTCCCCGGGTTGTAGCTCGAAGCGTGGGGGGCGGTTGTTTTTTTTTTTTTAATTCCCGGTTCCCGTCGGCCTATACCACGAGAGCTGCTGGAGAAATCTATCTATTTGGGGACTTTAAAGGTACAGTTCATCATTTGTCATTTGCCCACTATGTTTCTTTGAGGCAACAACATTACTCAATCTAAAGAACGGTGCCTGAGAAGAACATTATTCTAGTAATTCCAATTAGATGAAAGAGTGCTAAGTCATGTCTTGCCGTGCGCTTTCAGCGTCTGAGACACGTTCTCACTTTCAGTCGAATACAGCTACCTATACCTTCGTCGCTCAACGTTGGAAAGGAAGTTCAAGTGAAAACAAACATAATATGGCTTCAAATTCTCAGCTTAATTTGAGACGCGTGAGCCATCCGACATCGCATGAAGGTCATTAGAAAACATCAGTATGTGTGCAGCTGCACACCGACTCACACGCACTGAACCACAGACATGCGCTGAACATGTTTGAGCTGGCTTGACGTCAGATACTTCTCAGATGACCCTTGCCTTTTTTGAAATACTGAATTTCTGATTCCGTCCAGCCAACGGAGCCTCTTGTCTGGCCGAGGTCCAGGTGGAAACGGATGATAAGAAGTAGCTAGATCTATAGCGTCATGCTGTGATTCCTGGCCCGCCAACTGAGATCCGTCAAGTGCGGCTGCGATGTTGGTTTCCACTATGCCTTGCGCCATGGCATAGCGGTACCCACCACCAGCCATTAATGAATATTACGACCCACCATTCTAGTACATGTAGGCTGAAGAATGGTATTATTGTCATCTGGAACGCGATACAAGAAATTGTATACGTCCGTAGTTACTGCCAAATCTTTCTGCCGACAAATTTTTAGTTTACCCTTTGGATCACTAATAGGCCTTTGAAAATAACAATGGGGACTTTGCAATATAGATCAATGGTGGGAGGAAAGAAACATTATTTTGAGTATCCTAACAGCGCATGCCCAGGTTAAAGGTCATTCGGGAGTAGCCATACGCGCTCTCGAGGTCAGCCCTATCAGTGCGATGACTCGCAAGTGTGTTCTGTTCTCTGATGACCCTGCCTTTCTGAAATACCGACCTGGTTCATTGTCGAACATTCAGCCTAGTTTGGGTTAGTTGTTACATTTGGCACCCCGTTTCTTCGTCTGCCATTGGTAACTGCACAATCTGAAGGCAAGGCCGATACTTTTATCCTTGTTTGTCTTTGGTTTTCGAAAACCAGACGATTGTCCATTAGACACAAAGACGACATTTCCCACTCGCTCATACGTACGTTCTTCCTTTCAAGAGTGACAAGAGAGAATACTGTGAAATCGAAAGTTTACAGTTTAAAATAGATAATAAAATTCGATAGAATAAAATTGATGATCCGAACCGTGAACATGTAACCAATAGTGACGAACAACCGACCGACAAAGAGAAACAAAGACTTTTAGAAATTGACCTAATAATATCGCGAGCACGGTAAACGACGTAGAACGTTTCGTTCAAAATTGTAGATGTTTTACGAGTGGCAGAGAAAATGTGATATTTCGACCTATGCTCTTGGAAAACGTATGAGGTGGCCATTGCATATGAACGAAAAGAGGTCCAATTATTAAACTGGTGCGACGAGTAAACTTTTGGAGTCAATATTCCTGGTGCCATTGCACTGGGCTGAACGTGCCTCATGGGTTCTCCGCGTGAACATTGACACACACGGCCAGCCCCACCCTGGTCCGATCGACCGCGGCGCGCGCCCCCTGAGGCACCGCAATTTTGTTGACTAAACAATAAAATATTCATTATGGCGGTCCAAAGAGCACGCCGATGACGACTCGTGTCTCGGGATGCCCCGGCCTGCCGTCGCTGGCGCGGCAGCGTAAGCGTGTGCGGGCCGGGTCCACGGGTCCGGTCGCTCGCGGGGACTGCTCTTGCGTCAGACGAGGGGCGACACTTCGCTCCATTACCGTAATTTGCCGTTGCGCTCCGCCGGCTTCAATTCTCGGTCCTTCAACTTCATGCTGACCTCCAGAATGGTTTTAAGAACATTTCTCTTGGGCGGAACACCGAGGATGTTACCACGTTTCACAGGTGTAGGAGAAGTTTCCACAGATCCGAAAAAAACCCAGGAACTGGAATTCATCAAAACCAGAACTTGACAACATCTAGATACATGTTCTTAAGATCATACATATACCGATCATGCCAAAGCGCCTATTATCTTTTTGAAGGCCACGCCCGCTTCACCAAGAATCTTCCAAGAGTAAGTCACTGTATCCTTTTTCGTTTCCCCATGATTTGTAGTAAACAAAGAACTCAATTTTGCGAATGCATGCTGTGTTCACTTATGGTCGATCAGACTGGCACATCACTGACCAAAGAATGGGGGG